TTATTTAAAAGAGGAAGTAGTTTTTGCGCTTTTATACTTCCATTGAATAAATTAGACAGGGTGTGGTGGAACAATTAACATAGCACACTTAATTACAAAAACAAACAGTTATGATTTAATTAAAATTATTTATTTTTTTAAAGAGCGCACAAAACCGCCTCGTCATCAAGCACGGTAAAATCGTTAACGAAGACGAAATCACCGAGGAGGACGTTTACATCGAAGATGGCATTATTAAGCAGATAGGAAAAAATCTCATTATTCCGGGAGGCACGAGGGTAATCGACGCGAGGGGCCGCTACATTCTTCCGGGGGGCATCGACCCTCACACTCATTTCGAGTTTAACTTTATGGGCGCCACATCGGTGGACGATTTTTATCAGGGCACCAAGGCGGCACTGGCCGGCGGAACCACCATGATAAGTAAAAAAATTAACACCTCAATGCTGCCGCTCCAAGAAAAAGTCCTCAATGGGCCACAAAGTCTCAACCTTAATCTTAATCATAACTTTGGTGATAATTAAATATTGAATATGATTAATTAATTATTATAAATATTCCCCAACTTTAAGCACTTTGTGTTTTGTTTTTGCGTTGGGGAATATTTCTAATATTTAATTAATCAAAACAGTTGAATAGACTAAATGCTTAAAACTTTTTACCTTGACGCGGCAGTAAGTTGGATAAGGATTCTATGTGTCCTTTTATTTTCAGTCGATTTCGCGTTCCCCAAGAAGGGGGATTCAATTTTGGACACCTACTTCGAATACAGACAAAAGGCTGACGGTAAAGTTTGCTGTGATTATTCTCTCCACGTAATCCTTTCTCATTGGAGCGAGCAAGTGAAAAAGGACATGGAAGTTTTGTGTAAAGACCACGGCGTCAATTCGTTTAAGGTTTTCATGGCGTACGATTTTATGCTGAACGATTCGGAATTGTATAGCGCTTTTGAGCAATGCTCGAAATTGGGCGCTGTTGCTCAAGTACATGCCGAAAACGGTTCTATTATTGCCAAAAATGTAGAGAGGTTGTTAGCTAGGGGTATTACAGGACCGGAGGGTCACGAAATGTCAAGACCAGAAGAGGTTGAAGCCGAAGCTGTCAATAGGGCCTGCGTTATAGCTCATCAGGTATGTTTTTCTTTATCTTATTTAACATATTTTTATCTAGCACTGGCTTTTTTCTATTATTTCTACTTCCAGGCTATATTTTTTTCTTTTTAATTAGATTATAGTTGTTTTATTTGGTAATGGTGTGGTTTTACCTATAGGTAGATTGCCCATTGTATGTAGTGCATGTAATGAGTAAATCGGCTGCTATGGCATTAGATCAGGCATGCAAAAAGGGCGGCCGCGTCTATGGAGAAACATTGGCGGCCGCTTTGGGGACTGACGGCACAAACTATAAGCACGAATGTTTCCGCCATTCAGCCGGTCACGTGCTTAGCCCTCCGCTAAGACCGGACCCTGAAACTCCGTTAAATTTAATGAACTATCTAGCACAGTAAGTTTCTTTTTCTTTTGCTCTTTTGTACGCTTTGTTTTGCGATATGGCTAACACTGGTTTCTTTTTACACCTAATCGCTTGTCATATCATTCACCCGTTAAGTTGTTGAGTGCAGGTTAACGCTCCATTGTATGTGCGCGTAACAAGCGACCAATCGGCAAAAATAATTTGCGAAAAGCGGGAAAATGGTCAGATGGTGTTTGGCGAGGTTGAGGCTTCATCGATTGGGGCGATGGGAGAACCCCATAACATCCAAATGTCGACCAATCCTCCAATCAGACCTAACCCCGACATCTCATCAGAGCTTTTGGGTTGTCTCGCATCGTAAGTGTGCCATAACCACTAATATTACTAATCGATCACCATCAAAATTCCCATTCTCCATTATTTACATTTTATAAGCAATAAATTCGGATTTTTATTCTTATGCTTATTTGCTCGGCACGCAACCAGATCGAAAGATAATTTTATAAGGGATATATAGAATATTCGTGACAAGTCCACTTCATAAACTTCTTATATCGATCGTTGCGCTAGCATTAGCGTTAGCAAATAATTTAAAACAGTTGAGGAGCGTTTATTCAAAAAGGGACATGTCCATTTTAGCGATTTGCAGAAATAAGTCAAAAGCAAAGGAATTCTGTTATTTTTGACTTGTTTCTGCAAATCGCTAAAATGGACATGTCCCTTTTTGAATAAACGCTCCTCAGTTATGGATTTTCGCTTACATTAAACAATTTTTGTTTGCGTTTTATTTTCACAATTACAATACGTTTACGTCATACCGGCGAACTTATTCCGCATTTAAAACAGATGCGCTTTTTTGTTTGTTATTGCCGGCAGTAATCTAAATATAGACGACTCCCGACTAGGGTGAATTACTATAGCACTTAAGTACATAAATCACAAGTCCCTGTAGCGCAGCGGATAGCGCGTTGGACTTCTAATCCAAAGGTCGTGGGTTCGATCCCCACCAGGGATGCTTTGCATACAATTTTTTTTAATTTAATTTTTAATAATAGAGGATGGGAAATTGGTATACGTTTTTAGTTTCATTTGGAATGTTTTGTAATCTTAATATTATTAATTAGGATTTTAAAGACAAATAAGAAATCGTCAAATTTTTTAACTCGGTAGAAAAAAATTAAACGTAGTAATTAAAATAGAAAATAGCTGAAAAATATACATATGTACGTATAAGTATTCGTGGTCCATTGGAAGTTACCGGGGAACGAAAAAAAGATATCGATTTGAAATTTTAAAACGTTCAGACATTTTAGACTATTTTTCTAAAATATTTTAAACAAAATTCCACGACCGGAAGTGATATCAACTTTGTTATTTCAAATAGAACACCCCATATATTCTTACATTCTGTATACAATTCCAAGTAAAATTACTACACCATGTCCTATACCTAAAGTAAATAGCGTTCGGGTGTTTTATTTGAAATAACAAAGTGGATTTAACTTCCGGTAAGACCGGAAGTGGCATTTTTTTCAAAATATTTTAGAAAAATATACTTAAATGTTAGCTATAAACGCTTTTAAAACTTCAAATCGATATCCTTTTGCGTTCCCAAGAAACTTCCAATGGACCACGAATGTGAAACATCCTGTATAAGTCAGTGTACACAGCACAGGAAATTGGGGTACGCACTGAAATAAAATAACAAAATTTGTATTGACCGCTCCCTGTATGCATACATAAAGGAGATGCCACCTATGAGTCGAGTTTTAGTTTTTACGCTGTTTACACTGACTTCGTACAGACTTAATCTTGCTCTATCAACTTTTCAATTTATGATTTTGTCATCCAACCGAGTTTAATTTGATGATTTCAAACGTGTCGACTTTAATACGTCATGACTTTCACATCCTAGGGATATTTTACAAACAACTGGAAGCGACCACTGCACTTTCAACAAGCAACAAAAAGAAATGGGCAAAAACGACTTCACGAAAATCCCGAACGGAGTGAACGGCGTGGAAGACAGGATGAGCGTGATATGGGAAAAGGGAGTGCACGCCGGCATAATAGATCCATGTAGGTACGTGGCCGTAACGAGCACGAACGCTGCCAAAATTTTCAACCTCTACCCGAAAAAGGGCTGCATAGCCGTGGGCTCCGACGCCGACATTTTGATTTGGAATCCGCAAGCCACCAGAGTGATTTCCGCCAAGACGCACCACATAGCCGTGGACTTTAACATTTTCGAGGGAATGGAGTGCCACGGAGTACCAGAGTACGTCATCGTAAGTGGCAGAGTGTGCGTCGACGATGGGCAACTAAGGGTCGTAGAAGGCCACGGGCGTTACATAGACTCCATGGTTTATCCACCTTACGTTTACAGCCCTGATAGGGTTCAAGAGTTGAAGCCTGTTAAGAACGGCACTTCCGAAGTAGACAATATCGATTTCCATAAGGTATTTAATAATTTTACTAATGAACGTTGGATGTATTGAGTGTTTTTTAGATGCATTTGGAGGAAAAATCTGCTTGTCCTACTCCAACATTGCCGGAGTCTATGGTCGGCACTCCTTCCATGAGAGGGGGTAGACCGGAGGGTCAAAGAAATTTACAAGACTCAACATTCTCTATAAGCGGTAATTGACTAATGGTACTAACTAATTGGATGAACTAATTGTGTGTTTTTTTTTCGCAGAAGAGTTAGATTTGGAAAGAAAGTCGTGCATTCGCGTCAAAAATCCGCCAGGTGGCAAATCGTCCGGATTCTGGTAAAAATACCAAACCGAGAATGTGTTCGCTTTTTTATGCTTAAGCGTTAATTTAACAAATCAAATAATAACTGATGATGTACCAAAGTTAAATAATTTATCAATAATTTTCTTAGTTTAGCCAGTTTATACCAATGTTTGTAGTTAATTTAATTAATTATATATATAAAGAAATCATCCCATTTTTAAATATCAAATTATTTAATGTTTTATAATTAGATTATTTATTTTATTGTTTTATATTGATGTTATGTAGGTAATTCTGGGAGAGTTGTTTATATAAAGTACCTAAGAATAATTGTTGTGAATATTAAATTCTCATCCAAAACAATAAACAATTTTGAGGTGCTTTCATATAAAAAATTATTTTAAAATGGACGTTAGATATTAAGTGCTATTTACGTTGTTTTAAAAACAATGCTATTACTCAAATTATTTAAACTCATTTATGCAATTTCATATAGGTATGCACATTAGGATTTATAAACGTATGAAGCCGACTTAATTGTACTAATTTTTTATCATTGTAATTATTTATCAACAAATAAATTTTAATATGTACGTACGTAGCATTGCGCATTTTCATAAGAATAATTTAATTTGCATGGTTAAATTATTGTTTTTGAGAAATGTTTTATGTTACTCTAAAAGCAATTCACGAGTTTTATTTCCCCCCCTTAAATACCACCTAAATACAAAAATGTCCCTATAATACATTTATTGATTTTCAACATTCAAATATAAGTAGCGCCCTCTGCACGGTGGACTGTTGACTTAACTCAAAACTTAATTTAGTTGATACAAAAACATCACAGTTTAAACCGGCATTATTTGCTGTATTTAGTAAAAAGTTAAGGAAAAATATTTATTAAAATGACCACGAAGCGTTCGATGAGATTAAGATCTGCCGTAGACCCCTTAGAAAAGGAAAATATAGCCGTAAGTAACTGAAAATGCAATAAATCTCTTAATATAAATTTGGCGGGAAAATCTATGTTTCAGAAAAGACAAAAACTAGAGAAAACAGAATACGAAAAACGACCTTTTATAACATATAAAGGAAAATGCATGTATTACACAACTTTAGTGGACTGTGCTATAGCTTGTGATGAGTTGTTGTAAGTTAGTTTCAAATAAACATAAACATAACCTACAAGATTGTTTTTTAGACAGCAAGCCAATAGGTCTGAAGAGGAATTTGTAGTCGGATTTGATTTGGAATGGCCTTTTAACTTCCAGACTGGACCTGGAAAAGTTGCGGTCATCCAGATTAGTCCAACTCTGGATAAGTGTTATATTTTACATGTTAGTGAGATGAAAAAATTGCCGAAATCTTTATCGGAATTTTTGGAACATCCCAAAGTAATAATTACAGGAGTTAATATTAAAAAGTAATTTTATTTATTTAAACATATTTTCTTTGTTTAATTTAATGTATTTTAGCGATGTAAGAAAATTAGCTCGCGATTTTCCCGGGTTTAACTCGGATAAAATGGTTGAAAACTGCTTTGATTCAGGTGTAATGGCAAAAAATTGTTTTCCGACTTCAGGAAGATACAGCTTGGAAAAATTAGTAAACCGAATAGTAAGTATTTTGTTATCATTAATGATTATTAAATAATTCAAATTTTAAGTTAAAAATGAAAATAAACAAAGATAAAAAAGTTAGGATGAGTAAATGGCATATAATCCCACTATCTGAAGCTCAACAAAAATACGCTGCTATTGATGCATACGTAAGTAAAACAAAATAAAAACGATACAATTTGTTAAAAAAATATATATTTTAGGCATCTTTATTACTTTACTACAAGATAAAAGAAGCTGAAGAAATAAAGGCAATTAAAGATAAAGAAGATGATGAAAAACATCCTGAGGTTTTGAAATTATTGAATTAAATTTTTAAATAGACTGATTATATATTTATTGTTTTATTATTAAAATTATTAAAATAATAATTTGTTTGAATTTAAAACCTACATTTGACAACCTCGCATAGGATAAAAAAGAACTCTACAATGTTAATCAAAGATGGGTGGAAGTACAATAAGGTTATGTTATTAAAAAAGGAACGTAAATAAATTGTTTTTTATATTATTATTATTATTTAATAGTAATGGCAGAAAAAAAATCATTTATATACATAAACGACAAATTTTCAATCGAAAAAACTATAGTAATTCCATTTGATGAGTCTGTATCTGAGCTAGCACATATTTTAATAGCCAAGCATAGTTTACCTGTTTACATTGAACATGGTAATAGATTTATAATGAATAACGTCTTCTTATTTTAATTGTTTTAATTTTAGAGTTAACACAAGATTTAGAGCAATTTATCAATGATAGAACCATAGAATTTTATAATGAAGCAACATCAAAAACTATAGAAAAAGCCATTGAAGAAAACACCAATGTTGAGGAAACAATCAAAGAATGGGAAAAGTTAATGAAAGAAGTAAGTACATAATAATATATTTTTTCAAAATACAATGTTTGTTTTAAAGGAAATGGCGGAGTATGGGGAGAGAAGATGCGCCTCAGATGAAGAACTGTTTGCCACTGCTTACCATAAAATGGTACACTCGCCAGCATTGGAAACTATGCTGCAACTGGAACACATGTATTCCAAGACAGTAAAACAAAAAACCCTTGATAAAAACAAACAAATATCATTATTATCTGAATGGTAAGTAAAAGAACAATGCCGATTCTAGCCCACTAGTTCACGTGACAGCCGCAATTGTGGCTGTCTACACGAGGACCGCCATTTTGGATTTCCAGATATCTCTAGAGGGTGCTCCGGGGTCCCACATCAAGGTGTAACCCCCATGAAGGTCTTTTTCGTTTCATGATTCCAAATGTGTAGACAGTCAGCAAGTAGCGCCACCATGCGGCTGTCATGTGAACTAGTGGACTTGAATCGGCATTGTTCTTCTACTAAATAATGATTTATATTTCAGTCAAACACAAGAGATGAATAGCGCTGTCGATAGGCTTGAACAAGGAATGACAGAATCAAAAATAAACGATTTAGTAGCAAAACACTATGAAGATTTATCGTTCCTTCAATGTCAATTAACCAGTGAGCTTGACACTATAAAAGAAGCCCAAAGGCGCGAGTACAGAGAATGGCTTATGCAGATGCTGGAACAGAACCAAGCAAACAGCTCGCTACCCACTCCAACGTAATAATTATAATTATTTTTCATAAATCTTTATTTTTGATAAACCATTTTAGAAGCCCTCTATGCCCACCACCTTCAGAATCAATGAGGTATCACGAGACCAACCGCCCTGAGATAGCAACTCCAACATTGGAAGAAAGCTTTACCATTCATCTGGGATCTCAGCTGAAGCAAATGCACAACATACGTATATTATCGGGAAACGTAATGGATCTTTGTTCAGTCAATGATAATGATCAAGCGTCTGAACCAACACCGTTACTTCTTCAAACTGCTCTAGCCCTATATTCAAACGATTTATCCGGATTGGTACTGATGACTGATAATAAAATCGGGTCCAGGTTAACCCAAGGTAATAACGACATTTCTAAATGTAAATTATAATATAAATTTTTTTTAGAATTTCAGGAAGTATGCCAGAGGACCACAGAGTTTCATTTTTCTCACATAGAAGATCAACTGGATAAAATCTCGAGTACCGCTCAAAATCACATGAAAACAATCGAGTCGAATGGAGGTAGAAATGCAAATAGCGAGCTTTTGCTAGCGGGTGATTTTTACATGACGAAGCACTCGAATTTAGCGCAATGTCACGTAATCTTTCACATGGTGTCAGATGACAGTCTTAGAGGAAATGATATCAACAGCAGACACCCAGTGGTGTTAGGATTGAGGAGTATATTGAAAACTGCTTGTTCCAACGATATCACGTCTTTAACTATTCCGTTGCTTTTGCAATATGAAATGACTGATGTAAGAATACTAAATAATAACACAAGCTTTCTTTCTCAGAATTGCTCCATCATGTCTGGTTTTTGAGAAATCTAACCCGAAAGTAAACACGTGTTTTTTTACTCTTTGGTTAGTTTCGGAAACATATAGGTTTCTGATCCGAACAGACCTCAGAATTGCCAACAAAACTCAAGAAGCAATCGGTTTTTTAAGGATCTGATTTAATTCTGATTCTTGTAGGAACAACGCTGATGTTTGTTTTGTTTTAGGAGATGACGATATCATGGTGCGAAAAAAGGGCAGAGTTGGTGTTTAAGTGCGTTAAGGGTTTTATGATAGAAATGGCCTCTTGGGGTGGTTCTGATTTAAATAATCTGCAGTTCATGTTGCCTCAGGGGATATCTAGTCAAGTGTTCCAGTCGTTGACGGAGATGCTGCCGAGAATATTTAAAGTATCAAATCCGAAAATATTGAAGTAAAATAAGTACCTTTGTGATAAATTTTGATATTATATAAATAAAATAGTAATAAGCTAATTGGTTGATTAGTTGATGAATTAATTAAAGATTTGTTATTTGATAATAAAATTATGAAGCTTGATGTTGGTTTTTCATTTGTATACAATAACAATTGGAGAAGAATTTCAAGATTTGAGAAAGGGTAGAGTTCTGGGGATAAATCAATTAATAAGCTGCGCATAAGATTGTTAGTTTCCCCGGGTACAATCTGAAGGCTTTTATTTATAATTTTCAAAGAGATACTCGGTAATGCAATATTATAATTAACAGGGCCTTTGTGCGTCCGAAATTTGCTCGCTAATATACTACGTAGCCATAAATGCGCTCAATCAATAGTTTAAAAATAAACCCAGATACCCAGATTTTATGCAATTTGACAAATAAGATGATTAAATATTATATAGAAATCAGTGGCGGCTGGTGGATTTTATGCATACCAATATTTCAGTTATTAGACATGGGACCCACACCAAATTTATAATAGTTTATAATGACATTAAATAAACAAGTTCGGCGCAAACAGAATTTAAATTGAAGTTTGCGAAAAAAAGTTAGTTTTTCCTGTCGCCTCACCCGACTCCAGGCCCCCCTATTTAAGATAATTGAAATTAAAGTGGTGCAATTTTTTGTCTACTATAATTTATCGACAAATTTAAAATTTTATTTAAAAAATCCAAATATTACAGATTTTATTCGATTTTAAATTTTTATTATTTATTTTAATTAAATATACTCTCTAAAAGTGAAACAGTGAAATTTTCACTATTTCCGTCAGTGAGTTATTAATCACTGTAAAATTAGTGTTTTTCAATATAAATTAGTGAAATTTTAACTTCTCCAAATTAGTGTTTTTTATTATCACTACTTTTCCGGAACTCTCGACATAAAATAGTGAAATTTTAACTTTTAACTTTTTAACTAATCCTATTTCACTAATTTTTACAGTGTAATTTCTAGAGATGGGAAAATTCCCATTTGACGAAAATTCCCGGAAACTTTCCATCTAAAATTCCCGAAATTTTCCGAAAGTTTCAAAAAAAAAATTTTTATTGCGAAAATTTTTTATGCCAGGGATTTGCAAAAATATATAACACATTAACTTTTTGTCAAATTTTATTAAGAAAAAAAATATAAGAATGTAACTGCAATACTATCTTTTACTTTGGAATATTCCTATTGTATACTGAAACCTACAAAATAAAAATAAAATGTTTACTATTAGAAATTAACTGCTAGTAAATCCTAGATATTACGTAAAAAAAATAAAAGGGACAAGGTAACTAATATATATATTATTATTATAAGTATTATCTGTATTGTGATCTTGAATATATTTCTATTGCACATACAAATGCACATTGATGCATTTCTGTGTATTTATTAAATACTATTTAAGCATATTTTTTGTTGTAATTTGTATATTTTGTGTTATCTGTAAGCTTGCAAACAATAAATATTATTATTATTATTATTATTATTTATACTTCTTCTTCTGCTTTAAATTAACACACATTAAATTCTTCAAAGTATCTTGGCCTTGTATCATGGCCTTAACGAAAATCAGCGGTTAAAAAATTGACATTTAAATGAAAAAAACAAGGAAAGTTTCCAAGGAATGTTTCCAAGGAATGTTTTCGGTAGCTTAAAAGAAACTTTCAAAATGAAAATAAATTCCCAATGGGAAACTTTCCAAAACGGAAAGTTTCCTTGAAATGGAAACTTTCCGATTCCCATCTCTAGTAATTTCCACTAAATAAATTAGTGCAAAGAAATCGCTACATGAAAAGTGAGTATTCACTAATTGCTAGTGGTATACTTATCACTGCGGCAAATAGTTAATATGCACTGTCAATTAGTGAAAATCCACTGTTTCATTTTTAGATAGTATAAATATTTAAAATGGTATAAAACCTGTAATATTTGGATTTTTTAAATAAAATTTAAAATTTGTCGATAAATTATAGTTGATAATAAATTGCACCACTTTAATTTGAATTATCTCAAATAGGGGGGCCTGGAGGCGGGTGAGGCGACAGGAAAAACTAACTTTTTTTCGCAAAACTTCAATTTAAATTCTGTTTGCGCCGAACTTGTCTATTTAATGTCATTATAAACTATTATAAATTTGGTGTAGGTCCCATGTCTAATAACTGAAATATTGGTATACCCAAAATCCACCAGCCGCCACTGATAGAAATATTTAATTTGGATGAGAAAGACAGCGTCAACGTTGACTTTTCGTCTGAAAAATTTGTGCCTGCGACCTTGAAATAATGCATTTAAATTTCACGTTGTTGTCAGACGTAGGCGCTGTTTTGGCACAATCAAACAGGTGTATTGAAATGCGGTCGAATAATCAAGTTACACGCTTATCTATTTACTTGGCTTGTTAGGTATGAGGTATGAGTATGTTTGATATGAGGCTGCTTTCAATTTAAATAAAAATATATTGTTTTTTCTAAATTAAATTATATACAAAATTACATTTGAATTAATTAATTAGCTTAACAGAAAATATTTGAAAAACAAATTTAATTAAATCAAACAGTACGTGTGCATTTAATTAGTTATATACAGGTGATTGTGGTGGGGGGTTGCAATGTTTTCGGTATATCTGGCAACATCTAGCGAACAGCTGATTTTCATCCCCATATCTCCCTACAATAATCAAGATGGAAATAGATCGGGTAAGATCGGAATATGCAGGGGATTTTTAAATGCCTTTATCTAGGTAGATAAAGGTATTTGAAGATAATCTTGAATAAGATTGCGGTTCGTTCGGGTACATTGACCGATCCGTATGAATAGGTAAATTTTTCAAGGTTCAGTTTTGTATAACCGCCATTTCCGAACTGTTCATGTTTAGTCAGCTTCAATGCCGCACCCGAGTATTGAGATGTGTGCTCCAGGTTTACTCGAAACTCTGTAATTTTATTGTTGCTTTTATTCATTCCACCATATCAGTACCAGTTGATCGCATCACTCCTGATGAAGATGACAACAAGAACTTTTAAGCGTAACAACACCGAAGTCAATATTAACATGGGAAACAACGACTTAATCTAAACTTGGTTAAATATTTAAATAAAAAATGAAATGGTTTACTAATCTATTGGTACATCATCCCTACGTTATTATTTTCATTGTGCTTGGTTTTTCCGGAACATGTCTCATCGTACCATTTACCATAAGCTCAATCAGCTTCCCGAGATTTCAAGACCCAGAAATGGTAAATACATTAACAATTTTTTTTTTAAATAATTTTAATAATTTTGATATTTTTTTAGGGGTTCAGCACAAGGGGCACAACAATTTCAAACAGGCTTATAGCTTGGACAAATCTGGAGAAGTCTACAAAACCGTCAGGGCAATTTTCCATCAATCCAAAACAAGTGGAAATGCAGAGAAATTACTCAATATCAAAAGCGAAACAAAAGAAAAGCGGCAAAAAGAAGAAAAACAAAAAGACAACAAGTTACGAGTATGGAAACGTGAGGAATTCATTTCATTTAAATTTTAATTTTGACAAAACACTTAAATCCCTTTTAGATTCATGTTAATGAAGGAAATAAAACAAAACCCGCCGAAAAGGTAAACAAATGGAAATTGTTAAAAGAATTCGCAGCGAAAGCAAATAACACCCAACATTTCGCTGAAATCAAGTTCATCTATCCAGATGGATTTTTTTGCGGGACCCCCGGTAAGTCTATTATCACTCATGCATAGGTAGAAATTATTATGTATTTTAGCGAGATTTTATAGCTATTGTTAAGCGTATAAACTAACACTGAACAATAATAATTATTATTGTATTAGCATGCTAAACAAGCTTCTACGTGTAGAAAAGAAAATAATCCGATTTATTTGACGCTAAAAATTAAATGTTCTGTTGACTTCATAAAATCCATGAACAGTAATTTTTTTTAACAAATTTTTTTTATTGATTTTTTTATTTTATGGTTAGTAGCGTATCGACCTAAAACAACATAAATATTATGAGTGTGGACACCCCTGTAACTTTTTTTGCCCAAACAGGTTGGGCATTTTTTTATTGTAAAATTTGATGAAAATATTTAGTAAAGTTGTTTTTTTCGAAATCACGGTGCTATGACTAGGCTTTTAAAGTTTCGAAAAAAAAAACCGGAAAAATTGGGGAAAAACCTGTTTTTTAAGTTTTTTTTTCAGGCTTTGAAAAAATTGCCTTTTTTCGTAAAAATTGTTTTTTTTAAATGTACACATTTTAAAAAAAGTACCAATCAAAATCGTAACATTATTTTAATTTTAAAAAAATCCTTTATTACAAAAAAAACTAAATTGAATTATATTGATTTAAGAAAATAAAAGTAAACGTTATATTAAATATTAACAGTCTTAAACGAATTAAAGAATGGTTTTTCATCCCTTTGCCACGTAAAAAGTTTTTTACTCTTAAGGAGCGAAAAAAAGGGTAAATATTCATTTACTCATTAAAGAGTGGTTTAAATTTTAATTCTTAAAAAATTAAAACATGGTCTTTTTGCAAAAAAAGTCCATTGAAAATATCCAAATACAAAATAATGAATTAAAGTTAAATTAAAAAATTATAATTTTATAAATCCAAGTGTCAAATAAAACGAAAATTATGTTAATACAGTACCAAATGTTTCTTTTGCGGCCCGGTAGAATATTCTTACTGAATTAAAATAAAAGAAATAATTATTATAATTATAATATTATTTTATCAGCGTCTGAAATTCACTTTTTTCACTGATATCGAGATATTATCCGTAAAAATTGATAAATTTTGAGAAAAATTGACTTTTGCATTTTTTTCGCATTAATAAAACTTTCCCCATTTTTTTTTCCGCCGGTTAAATTTCTCCGTAAATTTCAAAACCCCAGCTATGAATTTAAATTTCTTTATAGTATTTCATTTTTGACAACTGTCAAACATTTGTCATTTTAAAGTCATGACACACTATTTCTTATAAAATAAAGTTTAATCTAACTTTTCGTGATTTTAAAACAAAAACAAATTTACTAAATATTTTTTGATTTTCATCAAATTCGCTCTTCAAGCAAAATATTGATGTACATTTAAGTACTTTTATTTTAATTAAGTTTTCCCATTGAAATAAGAATATATTTTCAATTCCCTATACCTTACTTACATATACAAAGTTTATATACGTGACTGTTTTGACTATTTTTGCATTAGACTCCAATAGATTTTAACAATATGGCAATTTTAACTTTTGATGCTCTAAACTTTTTGTCAGGGATTAATTTATATCTATAGGGGGGGGAACTATCAGCACTTAAAAAACTAAAAAGTAAAATAAACATGAACGTGAAGATTGCCAATATTAATGAGGATTTTTAGAATAACTTTTAAGAAGCAAAACCGAGAAATGAGTCTTTTCATAATGTTTACCTAAATAAAGAAGGAATGATATTATGATATTAAAATAAAGCCGTTATATTTATAACTTAATAACTTCAGATTCAAACTTAATTAACTTTATCAAATAAACACGGCCAATTACAGATTGAATAAGAATGAATAAGATTTAGTCGAAGAGAGGTTTTTTTTAATTGTTTTATGGCTTTATGAAATTAATACTATTTTATACTGCTTTGTAATTAATAGAGCAAAGCATAAGAAATTGCCCTTTAAATTAGCTGTCCATCGCAGGAAAATCTTGAGGATTATGCTACGGAAACTACCTGTTTGTTGCGAAATGTTAAAGGTCAAAAATTTAATAGGTAAAAATAGGTAAATATCTGTAGAGGAAAATAATGAATATTTTTCTCTGTCGTGAACGATGCTTTGAGATCGCAGATTTTTAAAGCATGCCCCTTTGAAGGCTTTCTTAAAACTGTTCGGAACCCAACGTATATTTATTTTTAGACTGACCTACACTCAAAACTTAATACCGGCTATGTATTATTCTTTTAAATTTTAGTCAATTTTTATTAAGCTTTAATGCAAAAATCTACAATCTAATAAATATTAAAGAAATAAAATTGCATATCATTTAAGTAAAATATGCATAGATAACAAGAAACAATAAAAATTTCCCGAGAATGGCTCGACGAAAGAAATTCCTACCTATATTGACTATTAGCGTTGAGTGAAGAATTCCTTAGTCAATGCTATTAGGCTGGTTCAAAAAAATCGACTGTTTTTTTTCCTGAAATTTCGCACTGAAATATCTTCACGGTACCAAAAAAGACACCTGGGAAAACCGGAGCTCTTAATTTTAATATTTAGAGGTCGCGCATCGACAATTTCTATTTCCCATTTAAATAACAAGGGAAATTTTTTTTGTTTTTTTATAATTTTCTAGCTCACAAACTAATAGTTTTTTATGCGCGATTGTGGAAAATTGAACGCTTTACAAAACAAATCTTAACTTACATCTCATTTTACGTATTCAAGGGTTTTTCGAGAAAATAGGGAATTTTTTTTTGAAGTAAATAAAAAATATCCTGTGAAAGACCTTATTTTTGTTAGTAAAACCTGAAAATGTACAAATCTAACGAACAGTAACGAAGATACAGCGCTTCAAAGTCGGTAAAAATGACCACTTTTCAGCAAAATAAACTGCTCGTCATAAAAAACGACGCACCTAGTTTTTTGGAAAATATTTGAAAGCTCGTTATTGGAAAATTACTGAATCGATTTTGAAAATCTTTGAAAATTCTAAATAGCTGATTCTTTGACTCTTATGTCTAATTTTGGGAATACGATATTTTGCACATAGCATTATACTACAGGGTGTTAAACGAAGAGATGAATTTTTTTCGAAATTTCAAGTTATTCCCATTCATAGGGCAGTTGACTTTGATAGTCGTAATACCCCTCCCTGATATAAGTTGGGTAATCCCTCGGAACGTTTTCGAGATTTTTTGGATATCTTGGCTAACTACGATTATATGCCAATTTTTTGAAAATTGTCCTTATTCCCCAGTTTAGTCAAAAAAATGAGCAATAGTGGATTCTTTGACTTACGTCTAATTTTGGGAATACGATATTGTGTACATGACATTATTCTACAGGGTGTTAAAAAAAGAGATGTTTTTTTCCAAAATTCCAAATCCCCATTCACAGGGCAGTTGTGCTTGATAGTCGTAATACCCCTCCCTAGTAACAGTTAGGTAATCCCTCGGGACGTTTTCGAGATTTTGTGGATATCTTGGCTAACTACGATTATATGGCAATTTTTCGAAAATTGTCGTTATTCTCCATTTTAGTCCAAAAAATGAGCAATAGTTGATTCTTTGACTCTTATGTCTAATTTTGGGAATACGATATTGTGCACTTAGCTACATACTACAGGGTGTTAAAAAAAGAGATGTTTTTTTTCTCCAAAATTCCAAACCCCCATTTACAGGGCAGTTGAGCTTGATAGTCGTAATACCCCTCCCTAATAACAGTTAGGTAATCCCTCGGCACGTTTTCGAGATTTTGGGGATATCTTGGCTAACTACGATTATATGCCAATTTTTTTAAAATTGTGGTTATTCTCCATTTTAGTCCAAATAATGAGCAATAGTTGATTCTTTGACCCTTATGTCTAAGTTTGGGAATACAATATTGTGCACATAGCATGCTACTACAGGGTGTTAATAAAAGGGATGTTTTTTTCCAAAATTCCAAATCCCCATTCACAGGGCAGTTAAGCTTGATAGTCCTAATACCCCTCCCTACACTGAAAGAAATGTTTCTATAAAGCAGTATTGTTAAGACGAGTTTCATAAAGAAAATAAGAGGATGCTTAGTTAGAATCATATTCGTTTATGAAGTCAATAAGCTGTGTAGTAACTGATATAATTTTGATTTTATTCCAGTTGTTTAATACTCGCTATAATCTAGATGCATATTGTTTATGAAATGTTTTCTTGCAGATATCATTTATTTTAAGTTATAATTTTTTTTATAAGAACTATAATATGTCTTATACTGTTTAATAGTCGTCTTTATACTCTATAGTACAAGCTATTACGCACATGCGCTTGGTGCATTGTTTTGACCGCGAGGAATAAGTGTCTGTGGCTGTAGTGTTTTGTTTATTTGTTGTGATAATAGCTGGCAATTGTTTAGGGTAAGTTTTTGTAATAATTATACATCATGATAGGAGCATAAGCCTTAGTTTAATAAAGGTGTATGCCTTGATCTTGGAACAGCACAACGACACAGAAGAACCTTCTGTGACAACGAGCTGAGCACGTGGACGCAGATGCAGGTACACAAAAACTATTTTTTATTGATTCCCATTATAATAATTTATTAATTTTTAATTATGTATTATAAATGTACAGGGTAAACTACGTAAGGTGACCCATATACTTATAAGTATAATATATTAAATGGGCCACCTTACGTGGTTTACAAGGATATACTTAGATATCTTAGAAACTACTGGAGTCACAAAAAATAATAGATTTGTAAAAATTAACCAATCAAGAGCAACATTATTAATAAGTGTGGACATGGAAGCATTTGGTTTAAAATTGTTTATTATTTATATTCTAAATTAAACTATATTTTATTTATTTATTTTAATATATAATAACAATGTTAATATAGTATTAAAAATATACTACCTACATAAATGTTTGTTTTCTACACATTTTTTGGGGCAGTAGTTTCTGAGATAAGTATATGGGGTCCCCTTACTTGGTTCAACCTGTACTCACCTACATATATCTAATACCTATATTCCCCAATATATTATATGGCAAGTATGTACATAACATACATTTATAAGGTTAAGATTTTAATTTAATTAGTTGATTAAAATTTACGATTTAAATCATGATAATAAAAAATCATGATTAAAATTATTAAAAAATAGCCCCCAAAACAAAAGATTTTACTAAATATTAAAAGAATACATTTTCCAAATAATAATTTTAAAAAGTTACAGTGACACGCTGTGAGGTTTTTGTAAGTAAGAATATTTTTACGCTTGTTTTATTTTCTGCCTTGGCATTCTTTGTAAGTTTCTACATGCAAAATTTTTATTTACTTCTGTACTATTATATAGGTACCTAATTATGTTTATTTATGTTTTATTTATTTCTTGTACCTGTTTTTTTATAATAAAAGTATAAAAATTATAAAAGTTGAACTTGTTATATAACGACCCTTATCCTGTCAGCAAGTAAGTATAATAATTATTATGAAAAATGCATAGTTTCGTCTATAAGACATATTTTATTAAAGTAACTAAATTGCTAATAAAGAGAATAAACAGAGTTTGTAAAAAGTATTAGCTACTACATAAAATTAATAAGAATTTTCAAATACACATAGCAATCTGAAGTTATACTGGCTAAAAAACATTTAATACTCGATATAAAGCGGGTTTATAGTATTTAAAATTTTGAATATATCCACTACAACAACATTTTATGGTGGCAGCATATCGATTTTATAAGAGATAATAGTATGTCTAATAACTGTTACAAGACGTTTTAACAAAACCGAGTTCATACTGTCTATGAACTAGTTGGCTGTCCTAATACTAATAGAGAAATCTTATAAGGAGTATTATATTTTTCATAACAGGTATTAGATTTTTCCCTCAGTGTAATAACAGTTAGATAATCCCTCGGAACGTTTTCGAAATTTTGTGGATATCTTGGCTAACTACGATTATATGGCAATTTTTCGAAAATTCACGTTATTCTCCTCTTAAGTCACAAAAATGAGCAAACTACGGAAGGTTATCAACACAGAGTTTTAAGGTAGGTAACGTGCTTTCAGTTTATGTACGTTGCGTGATTCATTAAATCTGATATTTTTTACACGAAAGCAATTTTTTTTGGCGAAATTCAAAATAAAAACGCAAACCAAACAGCATTATTCTCGTAAACTTATGCAGGCTATATTCATGCAATTTTCTACAAACGGTTGAGCATGAACGTTTAAAAAATATGGTGCATATCTGGTTTTGACTTTCATCGCTTCAATTATTGTTGTCATTTTTTTCGTCGAATATGAAAATATTTTTGCTATGCTATGTGTACAATATTGTATTCCCAAACTTAGACATAAGGGTCAAAGAATCGACTATTGCTCATTATTTGGACTAAAATGGAGAATTACGACAATTTTCAAAAAATTGCCATATAATCGTAGTTAGCCAAGATATCCCCAAAATCTCGAAAACGTCCCGAGGGATTACCTAACTGTTATTAGGGAGGGGTATTACGACTATCAAGCTCAACTGCCCTGTGAATGGGGATTTGGAATTTTGGAAAAAGAACATCTCTTTTTTTTAACACCCTGTAGTATGTAGCTAAGTGCACAATATCGTATTCCCAAAATTAGACATAAGAGTCAAAGAATCAACTATTGCTCGTTTTATGGACTAAAATGGAGAATAACGACAATTTTCAAAAAATTGCCATATAATCGTAGTTAGCCAAGATATCCACAAAATCTCGAAAACGTCCCGAGGGATTACCTAACTGTTACTAGGGAGGGGTATTACGACTATCAAGCACAACTGCCCTGTGAATGGGGATTTGGAATTTTGGAAAAAAAACATCTCTTTTTTTAACACCCTGTAGTATAATGTCATGTACACAATATCGTATTCCCAAAATTAGACGTAAGTCAAAGAATCCACTATTGCTCATTTTTTTGACTAAACTGGGGAATAAGGACAATTTTAAAAAAAATTGCATATAATCGTAGTTAGCCAAGATATCCACAAAATCTCGAAAACGTTCCGAGGGATTACCCAACTTATATCAGGGAGAGGTATTACGACTATCAAAGTCAACTGCCCTATGAATGGGAATAACTTGAAATTTCGAAAAAAATTCATCTCTTCGTTTAACACCCTGTAGTATAATGCTATGTGCAAAATATCGTATTCCCAAAATTAGACATAAGAGTCAAAGAATCAGCTATTTAGAATTTTCAAAGATTTTCAAAATCGATTCAGTAATTTTCCAATAACGAGCTTTCAAATATTTTCCAAAAATCTAGGTGCGTCGTTTTTTATGACGAGCAGTTTAGTCATTTTTACCGAATTTGAAGCGCTGCATCTTCGTTACTTTTCGTTTGATTTGTACAAAATTTTCAGGGTATACTAATAAAAATACGGTCTTTAACAGCATATTTTTTATTTACTAAATTCCCTATAAAAGTTTTTTTTTCGAGCGTTTTTTTTTAATATTAAATAAAAGCTTTAAAAATATCTTCTCGAAAAACCCTCGAACACGTTAACTGAGATATAAGTTGAAGAATTCTTATACAAAATTTTATAAATATTGGTTAAGGCGTTTTAGAGTTAGAATTTTTTAACTTATTATGCGTTAATTTTGACGCGCAGTGTATAAACACCATAAATTATGGTTGAAAATGTTATATACAGCAAACACCAGAACGGTGTTTATCTAAAAACATTTGATCTTTTCGAACTACTGAGAAGTACACTTCGCTGGTTTGGTGCAAGACTATCCTAAGTCCATTTTCAAAGAATTGGAGAAAAACATTTCTATTTATTGTAACTAAATTGTTTTTTGTACAATATGTACCTATTTATTTATTAATCTTTTGATGCAAAACCTTTCAATTTTTAAAAGAATGACGCAAAAAACAATTTAGTTACAATAAATAGAAATTGTTAATAGTGTTTTTCTCCAATTCTTTGAAAATGGACTTAGGATAGTCTTGCACCAAACCAGCGACTTTAAACATAGTATGATTTAATTTGACCAAAAACACATAATATTTAACACTGAAAAGGAGTTCAATTTACACCTGGTAAAATTTATTTTGATACTGTGTGAAAGTTAAATTTACACTATTTTTGTATTTGAATTAACACTGGACCGACTAACCATATTTAACACCATTTTGGTTTGTATCGATATAGACCATGTATAAATGACGTTTTTTGAGACCTACTATTAATCATACAGGGCCATGAAAATGACATATGACAATGTTTTTTGCTTTAAAAACAAAAACAACATTTTTTTAAATCGAATTATTTTTAAATAAATACCGAATTGTTGCCAATCAAAATGAAACACACTGTAGATGGTAAATCCTGAAACCGTGTTGTTGACAATTAATTGCTCGTATCCAGAATGACGCAACGATATAAGCTTTCCTATTGAATTGTGCAAACATAACTAATATTATTTGCTAGTATCCCGACATGCATACTATCGAACATGTGTATTGTTCAATAATCCAATAACCTTTTTTGTATCATTGTTTATACAAATTTTTGCTAATTTAATTTAAAAATTGCGTATAATTTATTTTTATACATCAATTATACAATTAATATGGTAATTTAATATGAAACATGCATTGGGAATTTTAAATTTTTCTATTTTAGACGAAAGATATGCGCAACTTGTTATCAAGTCGTCGGATAATAAAAACCTATTTACTTTTGATTCATTAATGGCTTTGTGTCATTTGGAGAACACTTTTATAAATATAAATTTGTATCGAGAACTATGCATGGAGCACACATCAGTTAGAAAATGCTGTAAACCCTGGTCCTTGGCCAATTACATAGCAATACTTCACAATCGGGCAAGTTGCTTGGCCATAACGGTAAGAGAGGGTCGTGAAATGTTTGTAAATATTGAAAAACACGTAAACAAAACAACCCCCACACAAATTTATTAATAGAATTTCTTTGAAACAATTTCCTCCCAATTAAAAATAATTTTTAGGAAGAAGATATTAATAAAACATTGACTTTATTGCAAACATGTTCCACCTATTTCCACAATTTTAAATTGAGCTCGAATTGCATTGACAAAGGACATTGCGATGCCCCAAAAGAATGCACGCGACACGACGCTGTCTTCAATATCCTAAATTTTTTGACTACTACCACTTTTTTATCGCCTAAGGTGAGACATTTTACCTGGGATCGACCTATATCGGCATTTTCACTTTTTCAATATTATCAAAATTTTATACGTCATACTCAAATGTGTCTTTTAATGACACGAAAACTCGACTAACCTGCAATGAAAATTTGTAGAATTGCTTCGGTCAATTCCAACTTTGAGCTCAGCACCAAAAGACTAACTTCTGACATAAATAACTATTTAATTACTTGAATTAATAGGTATATATAAAAAATAGTTATTTATGTCATTAGGTTAAGAAGTAAGGGTTTTTGTGCTAAGCTCAAGGTTTGAAGGCCGACGCGTAGCGGAGGCCTACAATTGAGCGAAGCACAAAAAGGCACTTCCTGGCCGAATGGCATACAACATTTTATCTTCAAAGCACTTTATATAGGTCAATTTAATTCAACATAAAAGCGGCCTAACCTCACTTTTTTAGAATCTCATTTATTTATAAGCTAAAGATTACATTAAATGTACAATAATTATTATTGCTTAGAAGCAGTAATAGTTTGACAATACCTAGCAACATGATTTAAGTAGAAATGGATTTTTGCTATTACATTGAATTCAATTAATTGTTTAATAAATAGGTAGGTATCTAATTTCAATTTGTTTGGATTTTTATTTAAAAAATAGGTAGTTTGGAATGTTTAACCTGTGTTTAACATTTAATTTTACTGAAAACTTAAAGCAAATTAAAACTTAAAGATAATTTAAATCGTAGAAAAAGAATCGTGCGTTTTCTTGGTTGCTTAACCTCACTTTTTGTTTTATTATTCATATTTAATTTTACAATAATTTAATGAAAAATATTAAACATTAACAGTAAAACAAACAAATTAGTGCTTATTATAAATAAATTAAACCAGTTTAGTACGTTAATTTCTTAGAAAAGGATTAATTTGTCAAAAGAATACCCCCAAAAATCGAACAAATTACTTGCCTCATAAAAATTTTTATCGGCCTAGGCCATAACAAGGTATTTCTTTATCGAATGTTGACAACAATAAAGTTTAAATTATAGACCGCGTGGAGATAAAAGAATTTAAAATTTTGTCGAATTTTTTCTTATTTAATCGAAAATTCTTCATTAACTTCTGACATAAATAACTATTTAATTACTTGAATTAATATATATAAAAAAAGAATTTAAAATTTTGTCGATTTTTTTCTTATTTAATCGAAAATTCTTTTGCAAATATTATTACTAAGTATTTGTCATTTTAATTAAATACTTAATTATATTATACCTCTAGTTATAAATTTGGGGGTTATTTGGGGTTATTATAGTCAAATAATTGTTTTTGTCAGTTTAACACCATTTTCTAAAAATAATATAATATGTCTGTATGTTTTTGTCACGTAAATCGATAAACAGGGAATAAAAAAGTGTTAAAACACTTTTTCAAGGAATAGTAAAAATAAGGATATTTATTGTTAACACAAAGTCAACAAGATATTTGTTGAGAAGCATTCGCTCAAAATTGTAACGCAATTTCTATTTATAATTTAGAGTTTCTTAGACAAAATTTCCCAGAAAAATGTTTATAAACATTTTTCTCGGAAATTTTGTCTGATAAACAAATTCTAAATTTTCCACCCCAGTGATTTCGAAATAGTAGGTAAATAAAATTTATTAAAATATGACAAATTTTACGTTTTGTTTTCCCTTTGAAAATTCTACGAGAAAATTAAATGCATTTTATTGTGCAAAGACAAAATAGAAACAATTATATTTAATTATAATTATAATAATTATTATTAGATAGAAACAAATAGGTATGCATTTATTTTTTTATAATTACACACTATAAAGCACAGTTTTATTTTAAGAAAGTTATTAAAATTATAAAAAAAATTGTTCAAAAAAATTTATTTTAGGTATATTAAAAACATTATTTACGTTAGTTAAAATGCAAACTTGACATAATTACCTATGTCAAATTTGATGCAGTTTTAATTATTATTATTATTATTGTCTAACTAAATTAAACCTTAACAATTTGGACATAGCCTTGGTGGTTTTTGGTTTCAGTTTCAATATTCAGGTAATTAACAATAATAATTATAATTATATTGAAACAAATAAATATTCCAAGTAACTTTTTTATCAAAACTCCTGGCTATTATGACAAAAATGTCTCTATAACCTCGTACATACATACCCATAAAAATAAAAATTAAACCATGCAAAATGTAGATCGGCGTGGCCGCCAAGATCACCGGATTTAAATACTTTGGATTCTTTCTTGTGGGGGTTATGTTTTTTTTGGCAATACTAACCAGGATCGGCTTCAAAATTGAATCAAACTTAGTTGTGAGTTTTGATAAAAAGCTTAGGTAGGTACTTGAAATATTTTAATTTCATTTTTAACTTAATAACTGTAGGTAGGTACAATAAAGAAATTAATTAAATCTGAATTAACAACATATGAGCCTTTTTCATAAAATTCATTAAAAATGTAAAAAATACGACTAATGTAAATTTGTTTTAAAAAAATTTAATTTTAATTAAGAAAACTCTTGGATTTATTAATCAACAAGCATCATACCTCGAACTGCTCGAGAAAAAAAGAAAAAACATTGTTTGAGTAGATGCTTTTTTACATTTCCTGTAAAATAAAAATTGTATTTGTCGAGAGAGATAAATAAATATCAGAGTAAAAAAAGTCATATCGGTCGATCCCTATTACATAAGAAAAACTGTAATCGATAAATTTTTAGAACGAAACAGATTCAACGAAACTTTACGAAACAATGATATTTTTGCCGATGGCCTGCAGCACAGCTGCCCTCCCTTTTTATCACCAATTAACAAAGGACAACTTAGAATACGATAATTTAAGGGTTGTGGCTATGAATTTCGGCATAAAAAATGCACTTTTCGACGAATACTTAGTCAGAGATGCCCGGCTGATGATATCTGGAGCGGTCTTTGTTTTTCTGTGTATGTGGATCTACACGCAATCACTGTTCCTTACTTGTATGACAATAATAGCGATTTTTTTCTCTATGGCTATATCCTATTTTATGTATGTTCTTGTATTTAAAATCAAGTTTTTCCCTTTTATGAACCTATTGGCCACAATTGTCGCTATAGGTAAGTCGCACACAACATTTTTAAAACATAAAAGCATTATTTTACGTTTAAACGAAATAGAGTTTTAAAATACCTAACCTAAGGAAATATAGTTTTAAAATACCTACATTTAAATCCGCAATATTAAAATTAAAATGACATTACGTATTCTTCTTTCATTTGAAACCCATGTCAAGGAGGTTTTGAAGAAATAGGTAATGCGCCATCTTGGGCGGCCGCCATATTGGATTTAGTATGACGCCATTCACAATATTGGTTTTTACTCGTCAAAAAAACAAACAGTACTTACATTTTTAATGTTTTTTGCCTCAATTCGATTGCATATTATGTACCGTATCACTAGTAGTTATTAACACGTTTATTTTGATTTATTATTTCGCAATAAAAACAAACTTATAAGAAAACCACGGGCGAACTAAACCATAACAATCATCAACAATCGAGATGATTGATGACAAATTTTTGACCAATTAGAGGGATGCTTCGTCTACATATTTATTACGGCGTAGGAATTTTTGCAAATAGACAAATTTTGAGTTAATTTAGATTAAAACAGTACTCACAATTGAATTGTTTTCTGTCTCAATTTGATGGCATCTAAAAAAGTTACGAACACAACAATACGAACCGATTTTCAGTAATTATTTCGCAAAAAACACGCAAACTAAACAAACAGGTAATCGCCGGTTATCGCCGATAGGGGTAATAACAAATGAGATGAATTATGACAAATTAGTGACCAATCAGAGGGATGCTTTGATAAGAAGACTACTTATTTCTACGGCGTAGTAATTTTTGCGAATAATCGTAATATTATATTATATATATATATATTATAAAAAACTAACCTTATAAACACTGTTTTAATGAATTACATACATTTCACAAGATAAAAACAACATAACACGGGAAACACCTGTTGAAAAAGCTGTCAAAATGAAATCATAACATCACTTACATTTTTATTGTTTTCTGCCTTAATTTGATGGAATCCCATGTACCATACCACTAAAAGTCACTAACACAACAATCCGAACCGATTTTCTCTAATTATTTTCCCGATAACTTAAATTTAAACGATTAAAACTCGCAAGAAAAAATTTGGCTTGAAAACAATCGAATAAGACGGGGAGAATGACAAGTCTACAGCATTGCCAAATTGACATGGTTTGTTGCGTTAATAGGCAACCAAGTTGTCACTTTTTAATTTTATTGTGTATTTAAGTAAAGAAATATTTAAAAGAAGATTAAATCGATTTATTTAAACGTTAGAAATAATGCTTTTATATTTTGTATGTTTTATTTTAACATTTTCAATACGCTGAAAATTAAATTATTTTTAGGAATAGGCGCCGATGATGCTTTTATATTTTGTAAGATATGGCATATCCAAAAAAATGAAAAGTCTATTTCTATAGATAAATTAATGACTGATACGTTTCGTCATGCATTTTTTTCTATGTTTGTGACTTCTTTAACAACGACAGTAGCATTTTTATCTTCGTATGTTAGCTCTGTGACGGCTGTTAGCTGTTTCAGGTAATTATTTTGCTTTAAACAAACTATAACCACAGTATTGATAAGAGCAGTACAAAAGTCCAGCAATCCTACGAGCTTCTAACATGATCTGGGATCAGTCAAGGTCATTTCATTAAGCTCGATAGACTCTTTTTCTATTCTATGCACTGTTCTTTCTATACTGTGCTATAGCAGTATATAACAAAGATAAAAATATAAAATCCTTAAAAAATTTTGTTGTACAGTAATACAAATTAGTTTTGGTTATACTGTTATGGTTAATAAAATACTTGGGAAGGTTTGGATCCAAATACAGTCCTTTGTAAAATGTACATAATGCTCCAAGAAAAAATTACTTGGTTGCGCTTGGAGCATTTTTAAACCTTCTTCCCTGATAGCACAGTTTATTCTAAGAATGTTTTTTAAACCTTTCAGTGGGAATATTCTTAGGATCATGCTATATTTCTTCTAAAGAACATGCTTAAAAGAAATATAGCAAAATCCCAAGAATATTCTCACTGGCCTATAGCAGGTCTTAGAAGGTGCAAAGTTTAGTGGTAAAAATTAATCCATTCTAAACATATGCTTAGAATTTTGAGAAAGTAATTGCTATAGAAAGTTCATTTAGGAATATTCCTGAACCATTCTGTCAAGCATATTCAGTTCAGTGAGGTACCTATATAATAGTAAAATATACCATAATCTACGTATAAAGGTACCTATACTTAGTATTAAATACTAAGTAAAAAACACAACCCAAAATATTTTTTTATAGTTATTTGTCAAATTAAAACAATATTCGATAACAAAAATACTTTTACTATAGTATATATAGGTATCTAAATTATCCGGCTTTTACATAAAATCTTCTGTACAACTTAAATACAATGAAAAATGTTTTTTTTATGAAGAAATATTTGGTTTTTTCTTTTATGAAGAATTATTTTATAAGGAAATATTTTGTTTTTATATATTTTATTTTATGTTAAAAATAAATATTTATTAATTTGTAAACCGATTTTTTATATCTGAATTAACATTTTTATGTATAATAATCCTAACTATCTTCAACTTCAATCTAATCTGACTTATCCCACAAAATTTTCCAATTTTACTTTTTATGAAATAATGTCATACAACTTATGGTTTAGAGGTCAAATTGTTTATTTAATATTTTTAAATAAATATATATTAATATGTCGCAAAATTTTTTAAGGGGACGACAAATACATTTCACTGTCATTTTATGACAGTGAGGCATATTTGTCGCCATCTGACATATTTGGAAATATTCTCAAAAGCTTCCTAGAAGCTCTATAAGAAACCTTCTAAGAACATTCCAAAAACGTATTCTTAAAATGTTCTTAGAATGCTTTTTAGGAAGGTTTTAAGAAGCTTCTAAGAATCTAATTGCATCATTAAAAGGGTATCTATTGAATGTTTTAAAAGTCCCTAAGAACATTCTTAGCAATAAGGGAAGGTTCTAAGAATATTCCATTATTCCGGGTCATATCTTCTTAGAAGATTCTTAGAATCAAATTTTGCTATCAGGGTTAGTGTTTTCACCACCAAAGAAAGAAACTGTTTTGCATGTGGTGTTTTTTAGCATTTTTGCTGGCACAGCAGTTGTAGCGAATTATTTGCTGATGATGACGTGGTTTCCTGCATGCGTGGTGTTATGGGAGCGAAAATATTGCTCAAAAATTCCTTGTTTGGAAAGTTGTACGGTTGAAACTTGGCGAGAATGGTGTTGCTCGCTATTCATGAACAGATGGAACGTGATGAATTGGCCGCGATGTGCCAACTTGACGAAAATTTGGAAAGAAAAAGAGAATTTTTTGTTGGAGGTCGTGATCAAATTAAAAACGATATGGCTTTCGTTGCTGTTAAGTATAGCCGTGATTAGCGCGGTTATAGTATTGTACTATCCAAGACTGAAATTGCCAAACTCGACTGAATTCCAGTTGTTTGATAGCTCTCATCCATTCGAACAATACGATTTTCATTACAAAGACCACTTTTGGTTTAAAAGAGAAGAAAAGGTAACATTCATTTAATAAAGCCTGACCAGGCAATTTAGACCCGAACAGCCAAAAGGTTTCTAAATCGAGTCCAAGTGCTATTGTATTTGACAATAATCATGTCTCAACTAACTTTGTCTGCTAGGGTCCAAAACTGTCTTGGTCCCAGTTGGGGCACCAAAAAAAATTTAACACGCGACATTTTGTAATTTTAGACCTTCCAGTCGTCTGATATATCAAGTAGTTATAAGTTACCGCTGAGGTTTGTATGGGGGGTGCTTCCAGTGGACAACGGCGACCCATTGGACCCTGAAAATTTGGGGACTTTGACTTTGGACGACACTTTTAACATGTCGGACCCTGATTCTCAGTTGTGGTTATTGAATTTTTGCAGGAGTTTGAGGGTTCAGCCGTTTTTCAAGCCGATGTTGGGTCCTCTTTTGCCAAATTGTTTCATTGAAACTTTCATGAAGTCCATGCAGAAAAAATGCAACGATCCGTTCACGCATAAAGACAGATCTCCTTGTTGCGAGACTGCCAGATTTCCATTTAAGACTAGCGTATTTGATAAGTGTATTATAGAAGAAATGGCTGAAATATACGCGGTGCCAACGGAGTACCTGATACCTGGGATGGCTGGCCCGAAATTTTCAACAGACCAATTTCCGACAATAAAATCTATTATTGTAGAGTATTATAGTAACTATAGTTTTTCTCTGTCCTACGAGCAAATGAACGAGTTTTACAACAAAGTGGAAACATGGATGCAAAACGAATTGAAAACTGCCCCGAAAGGCATGAAGAACGGCTGGTTTATAAGCGTACTGGAGTTTTATGATCTTCAACGAGAGCTCTCCGAGAGCACTCAAATAGCTATCGCGATGTCAATGGGATTAGCTCTGGTAGTATTGCTTTTGTCAACATTAAATGTCTTTACAAGTTTGTACGCTATCCTTACGATTACATGCAGCATATTTGTAGTAATGGCTGTCCTAGTCTTATTGGGATGGAAGCTGAATGTTCTTGAATCAGTGGCGGTCTCCACAGCTATCGGCCTAACCGTCGACTTCAGTTTGCATTATACCGTTAACTATAAGATGTGCCCGGCCAATATCGCCCAGGACCGCGTTCAAACCACCAAGTACGCCCTCAGCTACATGGCAGGGCCGGCTTTGATGGCCGCCATTACCACAGGAGCCGCAGGAGCATTTATGTTACCTTCCCTAGTCCTCCCCTACATCCAAATCGGAGTTGTCCTCGTAACTGTAATGACCGTCAGCTGGATTTACGCGACCTTCTTCCTTGGATCTCTCCTGGCCACCATTGGTCCGCAAAACCAGTTCGGCCAGTTCTCTTACAGTAAGCTCTCATGTTACCCGTTTCGTAGATCAGATATGCCATCCAACGAAACAAATCAGCCAGTCGAGGGGGAGAGCATTTCCGACTCTCACGAGCTTGAGGCGCTCACCTACAAGCTTGGTCCTCAGCCGGCTGCGAAAACTATGCGGAGGTCTTCGAGCACTGGAGCCAACTACACCAACTCCAAGTACGTGTTTACAGACCAATCTCCTTCAGCGACTAGCGCTATCACCATTATTATGGCAGATGACAATTAATGTAAATGTAAATGTTCTGTGATAAAAAAATTATTCTGAAACTTTTATTTTTTCGTTTATAACTACCACTTGGGTAAATGCCTTTTCAACCTTATCAATCTCATACGTTCAACTGGCATTTACGTAAATAAAATAGATATTTATGAAAAATTTGTTTTATTTTAAAAATACACCTTTGGGATAAAAACAACCTGAAACAAAAACTATTTTATTGAAGCCTAAAAAAGGTAAGTGATTTTTTATGAATAAAAATATTATTACTGGACAGCAGACAAAAAGTCCTTGGGCGTTTCTCGATTTAAATTAATTAAGTCTGCATAAGCTCTATTTTATGATTTGGACGTCAAATACAACATCAGAAAGAAGTTCTTAAGACTTCGAACTAATCAAGACTTCTCAAAAAATAACTTCTTTAGAATTTCCCGCTTTGTATATAGAAGTACTAAGTACTTGGGTACTGATGAAAAAATTACATACTGAATAGTTGCTTATTTTGACATGTCAAGTTTAATTACCATAGAATAAACGAATTTGTAAAATTATTAATTTGCTCGTATTCGCTTATTTTTGGAATTGCGATAGTTTACCTAAAGTCTATTTAAATCCAAGCTGGACTAAATGTAAACACAATCCTCCGAATCGACCAATAAGAGCTCACAATCCGAGTCACACCATCAGAATCGACCAATAGAAACGAGTTATCACGCGTCTGGGCGTTTTTGTTTAGTCCAGATTGGATTTGAATAGACTTTAGGTCTAAGACCGTTTGGTATGGAGCACGCTCTAAATTCTACTTCGCCGCTTCTTATATCAAACACAAGCAGTTACAGCGGTGAGAAGAAAGTAATCGCTTTAAAATGTCATAAATGTGACGTCTCCATGTTGACGTCTTAAAGAGTTAATAATATGATTTCAGTAAGAAGTAAGAAAAAAGAATACTGTAAGATATCATATAACTGAAGTCTTATTTATGATACCCTTAGTAGCTTCTAATTTTGATGAACTCTTAATCTTGAGCTCCTAAAAATGATTCCTCTAAGATGTCATATTGTGACCTCGGTAAGATGTTTTTCAACAGACTTCGTACAGAAATCTCTCTGAATTGGATGCTGTCTACTTAGACTTAACTAATAAGAGGGGCGTTAGATCCAAAAACGCCAAAGGACTTTTCTTCTTAGTCCATCGTCCACTATCCACCCCTTTTTGTTTTCCATAACTTTTGGTCATGAAATTGAAAATTGCTTTTTTCATGTTTTTATGTTGCATAAAATCCGGTCTCTAGTTATGACGGGTGTCTATAATTTCACCTTTTTTCATTTTTATAAAATACAGATCAATTAATATTAAATAGCTCATGGCTTAAGATAAGATAGAATCGTCCTCTAAAAAATACTGTAAAAATCTGTATGCTGCATGCTTTGAATTTTTAATTTACCAAGAGGACGCATGCGTGACTGTAAGCCACATGTATAAACCCATTGAAGAACGGTAAATTGTAATACTTTTCCTAATTGGCTCACAGTTGCGTTTGTACGTCGCGTTGTTCGAAAGATAATGGGTTTATTTTCCGGTAAATGTTATTCAAATGTTCGATTGGATGGTAAAACTGCCGTAATTACTGGTTCCAATACGGGAATCGGTAAAGAGACCGTCCAGGATTTTTTCAAACGAGGTAAAATTAATATTGACACAATATGTATACCCAAATTAAGTAACTAATTGGATATTTATTTAATTTTATTACATTTGCATTTTTAATTAACAATTCTATATATATAGACAAATATAAATTGCAATTAATGAATTCCCATATTAAATTTCTTAGTTTTCTATTTTTAATCATAATTTCATTTCGCTCAATTAGATTAAATATTGTATTTGTTGAAATGTAATGTAATTGAGAGAAAACATGTTTTATTATTGCGTTATAAACCCACACGGAAAAAAAAATGTTGTGGAAAGTACTACAATTGTAGAATTTTCTGGTATAAATTGTTTAAAAAATACGACCAAGAACAATTTGTTAGAAATAATTTAACAATTTTGTAATAAAAATAAACAACAATTTATTGAAGATATAATTATATATTGTAGTTAAATTACTACAATTTCTGTTTTAAATTAATATTGTTAAATATTTTAATAAAATATTGTATTGACTAATGCCATTCTCCAAAATTGTGTACTTTAAATAAATTATACGTTGATATACCTAAATGCTTTAAGTTTTAGTTAAGGCGTATTAATTTCAAAACAATTGTATTAAATAATTAAACATTTTTTTTACAGTATGGTTGTTGTAAAATTTAATTTTTTTTTCCGTGCATACATCGACATTTTTTAGTACATATTTTAATTTTATTTTAAGTAGTAGTTTTATAATTATCTTAATATACACAAATATAATTTTGTATAAGGTTGTAAAGTGATTATGGCTTGCCGAAATCTGGAGAAAGCCCAAAAGGCAGCAACCGACATAAAAACGAATTGCGGCGAAAGCGAAAATTTCGGAGAAATTTTGGTGACGGAACTGGATTTGGGTAGTCTGAAATCCGTTAGAAAGTGCGCTAAACACATTTTGGAAACGGAACAAAGAATCGACTTGCTCGTCAATAATGCCGGCGTTATGATGTGCCCCGAAAGCAGGACCGAGGAGGGATACGAAATGCAATTCGGGACGAATCATCTGGGACACTTTTTGTTGACCATGTTACTGTTGCCGAAAATAATTAAAAGCGCGCCGGCTCGAATCGTCAACGTATCATCGTTAGCTCACGAGAGTAAGTATAAACCTTGAATTGTTTTGTTAATTAAGTTCCTACAATTGCAATAAGTAAACAAATTAAATTATTGTCATCCTACACGACATACATACATTTTCACTTAAAGATTGCAATTAAAGTTTATTTCGACCTTCCCTTTGTCTCGACTTTGAAAATATATTATTACCTTGTATCGATTAAATAAAAAACAGGTCTTAATCAATGGTTAAACATTATGTCATTAAAAGAAATCATACAAATGTGAAAAAGGCTTCCTTATTTAAGTGTGAAGTATTTATATATGTGTGAATATTATATTTCAGTGGGCTCAGTTGATTTTAAAGATATAAACTGGGAAAAAAAGAGGTACAGCTCTTTGGGAGCCTATCAACAAAGCAAATTGGCTAACGTTGTTTTTACTGTTGAATTGGCTAGACGATTGGAAGGTAATATCTAATTGAAATTTAAATATAAATAAATAATAATCTATTTCAGCCGCCAATATACAAAACGTTAAAACATATTCCTTACATCCAGGAGTTATTGCAACGGAATTAGGCCGACATTTAGGTGCCACCTATTTCAGTTTTGTGCTTTGGGCTTGGCGTAATATCGCGACGTACTTCATAAAAACCCCCGAGCAAGGTGCGCAGACGACAATCTACTGCGCAGTAGATGAGGCATGCGCAAACGAATCTGGACTTTATTACAGCGATTGCGCTACCAAAAACGCCGCAAAACAAGCTTTAAAAGAAGAGACGGGCAAGCAATTATGGCAAGTTAGCTTGAAAATGGTAGATTTGCCTGAAGATTTTGATCCATTTAAGTAATATCTATTTGTTAAACTTTATATTTATTAATAATTATACTATTTATATCTTTATACGCATCATAATTTACAACACAAATTTGTATTATTTTGTGAATTTTTTGTATAAAATTTATTTAATTTATTGTGATTTTTATTTAGCCGGCTTAAGAAGACTGAATATTTGCTATTTAGTTTTCTTGACCTAACTCAACTACAATGAAGTTATAAGTTTACAATATTTATATTGCCTTATAATAAAAACCACCAACTTGTCAATCAAATGCCCAAAACGCCCCAAGAAACCTATAGAAGGTATTCCAAACATTAAAATTCGTTATTTAAATAAAACCATGGTTGCACGTGTGAAATAAACAAAAAAACAACAAAAGACAATAGAATGCATTTGGCAGTAACTATTCATGACTATATTATCAATACTTATATACAGAAAATAAATAAACCAAAAAATACTGATAGATAAGGACTAATATCAAAATTACAAAAAAGCTTCATTGGTTGTTTCAAGATTAACACTATGCCAACATTTGTGGGAAATCGCCTTTACATTTTGATGTTCGATTAACTTTTATAATGCTAAATAATAATGACAAGACTCCAGGCATACTACTATGTACAAAAAACATACGTATACGTATATTATATTATATATTATTATAATAATATTACAGAAGTGAAACTAATACCAGATCTATGTTCCGACCACCTTGATATCCAATTTCACCTAGGTTTATTAAAAATTCACAAACAAATGCAGAAAACATAAAATATAATTTTAAGAAAAGTAATATCAGATTATCTCTGGTAATATAGAACTTCTATAATAGAAGCCATAAACTATCTCTTGCCAAACAATCAACTAATACCAAACCAAATATTACAAGTATTACACTGAAACACACCCCTATATTAAAAACAAGCTTTTTTGTGCATACATTGCCACCCTTCTTTATAAAACTAATTAAAATTAAAAAACAACTCTACAGAGAGATAAAAAAACAATTTCGACCCAATATATTGGGTATACCTACTTAAAAGAAAACACAATGAACTAAATAAGGATATACATAAACTAATTTTACAATACCGTTCATCAAAATACCTAGAAGCTTGTCAAAAAATTAATTTATCAAAGGGTTAGTCATACTGGTGCGAAATAAGAAAAATTTCTAAATATAAAACAATTCGCTATATATAGCTCTGTTTGTAGAATTTTGTTGTTTTCTTTTATATATAAAAGAAAACAACAAAATTCTACAAACAGAGCAAGACATGGAATATGCCTTACAAGTTTACAGAAAATGCAATATTTAGTGAAAACAATAAAAATGAGATCAATTGGGTGGGAGAATACTTTGATCAAAGAAACCTAAATGAAGATATACCTAATGTTACAGAGGATGAATATTTTGAGTGTTTAAACGGTTTCATATAACAAATATGAACGTTTTAAACGGCAAAAATACAGCACCAGGCCACGATAACATTCCCAGAATGGTGCTAAAACAATTGGATCAGGAAATTCATGATAAAATAATCAAAATTTTTAACTTTTGTCTACTTAATAACTACTTTCCGAGTGAATGGAAAAAAGGATCCCCAAACCTAACGTGGATCACGCTATCCCATCACTTTATTGCCCGTAAAATAATTAAATATTATATTATTATTAAATATTCTTAAATTTAATGCCCTACAACTTTATTTTTTTAATCTTTTCTTTAACCGTTCAAAAGTAAACCACTTAAAATATTACAATTGTTTTATTTAGAACTAGATGTAATCTGTGTTGCATAATAAAGAAAGAAATAAAATAAACATATTATGTAAACGTGGCGCGGCGCCACTAGCGCCATCTGTGAACAGTTTTTAAAAGCCATATGACGTTTTGATGTAATTCTATTTATTCGCATTTTTTAAGGTTTATTTGTAAAAATACAAAACATTAGCAATAAAAACCGTAATTTTAAGGGTGTTTAGTTAATTAAACCAAGTAAGAATGACTGTTATAAAGCGCGTGCAACCAAATTACAACTACCCAAATTCTAATCAAGCATCTGATACAGAATCGTTAAAGTAAGTAATAAAATAAGTAGCATATGGTGTAAACAAAGTGTGTTTTGATGTTATAGTTTGGGTAGTTTACCCGCCAGTGATACAGAGTCAATAAATAATGAACCTGTCACTGTGCCGAGGCTTTTACAACCACAAAATATTGGAATATCTAATATTGTAGACCTTGTACATTTAAAGAAAGCTTCAGGCAAAAAGAAGTTGCGTAGATATCAAAACAGTAAGCTATAAGATTTTAAAATGTTTATTTATTTATAAATTGATTACTTTTAGGATGTGTTTTGCAAACGTTGAATGAAGATGATGAAAACGATAATACCATTGTTATGGAGCCTTACAGAAGTCCATTTACCAGACTTCTGGAGGATAATTCCGCTTTAGCATACTGGAATAATTTTATCGAGAAATCTGAGGAAGAACAGAATAAAATAATGAAGGCTTACACGGAAAAATGTAATAATAATGAAGAAGCATCAGAAAAGCCCTATGGTAGAATATCATCTAAAATTAGAAGAACAATCAAAATAAGAAAAAATTTGTCCTTGGAGGATGTGAAGAGCTCCGAGGATGATTTAATTAGTTTTTTTACGAACACACCCAATAAAGTTTATATTAAACACCCACCAACTAGTTTTGATAGGCTTTTACTACATGCGATTGCACAGTATCATAAGTTACAATCTATAAGTAAGTCCTATATTAAATACATGCGGAATTACTGATATATCATTGTATTTTCAGGTATTTTAAATGAAGAGAGTGCCAGATCAATCGAGATTTTTACTTTGAATGAAAACTGGACACCAGCTGAATGTTTTCTTACCAACTTTATTATTCAATTACGAAAATAACAGGAGGTATCAGGCACCTGAACAAGTTCAAATATAAAGAGTAGAATGAAAAAAATTACTGTGCATTAGTTTTGGGTGGATTTGGTTTTAACGTGATTTTAGCTTGTAGTATAATTTTATTTAAATGTGTGAAAAGCTGTGCTTTTTTTTTGATAGTTTATTTTATGATCAATTACTAATAGGGTTGTTTCTACCAAGCAGGGACATGCGCACTCACGTATTGCGCATGTCACTTTTATTCGACAGTCCAAATGCTTGTCAGTAACAAACCTTGTCCGATATTACGCATAATAAGTAAAAAAATTCTAACTCTAAAACGCCTTTACCAATCTTTATAAAATTTTGGATAAAAATACTTTAACTTATCTCAGTTTACGTGTTCAAGGGTTTTTCGAAAAAATATCCTTAAAGCCCTTGTATTTAATATTAAAAAAACGCTTGAAAAAAAAACTTTTATAGGGAATTTTTTTTAAATAAAAGGCCGTACCCTGAAAATTTTGTACAAATCAAACGAACAGTAACGAAGATACAGCGCTTCAAAGTCGGTAAAAATGACCACTTTTCAGCAAAATAATCAAAAAGGGGTCATTTTTACCGACTTTGAAGCGGTGTATCTTCGTTACAGTTCGTTTGATTTGTACAAAATTTTTAGGGTATATTAACAAAAATACGGTCTTTAACAGCATATTTTTTATTTACTTAAAAAAAAATTCTATAAAAGTTTTTTTTCGAGCGTTTTTTTTAATATTAATAAAAGGGCTTTAAAAATATTTTCTCGAAAAACCCTCGAACACGTAAACTGAGATATAAGTTGAAGTATTCTTATACAAAATTTCATCAAGATTGGTAAAGGCGTTTTAGAGTTAGAATTTTTTTACTTATTATGCGTTAATTTGGACGCGCAGTGTATCATTATTGTGATACTTTGGACTTATTTTTTTTAATAAAAAAAATATATCCGTACTACTACCATGAAATGTAATTTTTTACATTTTTGCTATATTATAAGAGTGTAAGTGTCTATATATGTATATAAATAAACCATATTGAAATTAAATAATATTTATTAACCTATAGGTATAAATCAGTAACAAATCTACATTAAATTTATTTATATAATAATCTTGTGGATGATCACTGGATAATTTTCAATATTAAATACTTAAATTTGTCATATTCAAGGGACCTTCAATAATTTTATATCATTTGTACTCCAGTATAACAAGTGATATTTTAAAAACTTTTCAAATCACATTAGATGCTAATATAAAAATATTTGAAGTCATTATGTACATCAACAAAAAAACTCAACTATCACCAGCGTTACTCAACAGATGGTTCGGGGAATCGGCAAACATAACTTTCAGTTTGTAGGCCTCGGCTACCAGTAGGCTGATTTGGGAGCTGGACCAATGCTGGGTGGGCAGATTTTGCAGCAGCATCAAAAGCCCCTGAAAATCCCTTTCGCGCATCAAATCCTCCTTCCAAAACAGCAGAAAAGCCGCGCACACGTACAACTGAAACGTGGCGAAACAATCGTTTTCCGCTAGGTAAGTGTCCCACAGTCTGATGGTGCACCTGAGAGGAAGCTCGCGAGTCAACAAATTGTTCAGCCAACGAAACGAAAATTGCAGATAACTGACGTTGTGCTGCTTTAAATGTCTGTGTAAGGTCTCATCGACCCTCTTAATCAACTCCTCCAGCTGCAAGACCTTCTTTTGTATGCCGATTTGCGCGAACACGTAGTTGTCCTGGATGCTGTCCAAAAATTTCGTCAGGCACCAAAATGAGTCGGCTTCGATTATGTTCAGCTTCCCTTTATCCAGCGCGTCTACTTGGAAGGTTTCGAAAGGCTGGTTGTCGGATAAATATTCTTGCAGAAAAACTACGTAGAATGGAGTGACCAAGTCGTTTATGCCTTGCACGTAACCGGAGGCGGGGTGACGAATGGACCATATGAAAAGAATCCTTTCGAACATGATTTGGACAGTCTTTTGTTGAAATAACGGTATCGAAGGGTTCATTCTTGGCACATCGATGTTTATTTGATGTTGTATATCACGGTTGGTCTCGTCGTGATCGGTATAATAATACTTGTCCACGAAAGTCCAGTAATCCTGCCGTTTCCGCTCCAACACACCATTCCTGCGCTCCAGATTTATCGGCAGGTATCCCGACAGCAATCGCCATGTTATGGCTCGCACCTTGACGGGTATACCGGACCAACTCAGTTTACATAAGTCTTGTAAGGTGGGAGAGTTGACCAGCAACTCCTCAAATCTGCCCAGCTTTATCTGCGTGTCTTCTTCTTGCGGAGGGTTCAGGTTCAATAATTGCTGCGGCCTACCAGGTATCCTACTTCTAACTTGCTCAACTTCCTGAATCACTTGCGCTTTCCTACTCGTATCGCTACAAGTATTTTCTTCAGTCGTTGTGTTCCTATGAGTATTCAAAACGTTTAAAGCGGCAGACTGTGACACTTTCTTCGATATTTTAGCATCTACAACACAATTTATCGTGAATCAGTGGATTCAATTAAGGACTACACTAATAATGATATATCAAATAAAAAATGGAATATAAAGTATCAATACTCAAAAATATCGTATCGTATCGCGCATCCCTAGTGGTGCAACGGAAATGTCAATAGTAAATTTTTGCGGAAGCGGAAGTTAACGTATTAAAAAAAATTAAAAAAAACTTACAATTTTTATTTATCACGCTTTTTACGGTGACGGCGAAATAACTAAGAAACATAAACGTTGCGAAGCCGATGTAAAAGTGTGCAGAACTTCCGCAGTTGCAGATGTTTGTTGCAACCAGGGTTGGCAAAAACTTTTTGTTTATAACCGTTTTATTTTTGTTTAAACAGTTTTTTATGTTTAGTTTACACATATAACAATAAACAAAATCAACAAATAATTTATTCATTGTAAACTGTTTAAAACATATTGTTATTTTGTCTTGTTTAAAACATGCCAATCTTGGTTGCAACACTATCAAAAAATGTCCCAAATTGTATTAGAACTGTCTAAAATGACCCAAACTGTATTAGAACCAATAGAACTGAAAAATCACATTACTATTGTCTCTGACTGTACATCTCTGATTCAAACATTGTGTACCATTAAATTAAGACAATGAAAGTCGTAAACTTTGAGTTTAATTCAAATAATGGATAATATAGGGCTTTGAATGCTGCTTACTTTCCAGTCCCGATATGACACATATATCATCATCGTCCATGTCCCAGGCATCGCTTACAGAAGCCTGAAAGTCTTGAAAAGACGTGGCCCCAGCTGGTTTACCCTTGGCAATACTCTTAACATCTCTTTTAGGGCTCGGTCTACGAATTTAAAATGACAACAGTTTGACACTACAGCAAACTTGAATGTTTATTTACCTTCCAGGCACAGTTTTTGTGTTTTTCTTCCAAAACGATGCTTTATCCTGCTCGCCCTCCATTCTAACTCGCTTATTCTAATGATATTTCTGATAATAAGCCCATTATTTTCACACAAAATGCCTTAAAGCGACAAGTTTTCAATTTTTTATTGCTTTGTAGGTTAGGTTTGCTACGAATCAAATGTTTCTAAGGTGACGTATGACATACCGAATTTTGACCTGTAATTAATTAACTATTGAGAAATAACCGATACAAATCCAGAAATGTATTGATTTTATGTTAAATGTTCTTATACTATATCATAAATTTATTATATTTAGGTTTTTATTTATTTATTTAGTTGTAGTAAATCTGGCAGCTATGTCATGATTATTAAGGGTGGCTGTGGGTCTTTCTCACGAACGGTTAAGGGGCACTATACAAATTCCATAGGTGTTAGCTAATTCACAAATACATACAACAAATTTTTAAATTATTTAGGTACCATGCCCCACACCCAAAAGTCTTACGACATTTCAATACAAATAATTGAGATTTAAGAAAATAAGTTTGCGTTAAACTAGCAGGTAGATAATCTCAATTAATTGTATTTAAAAGTCAAGTGGGGACTTTTGAATGTAGAGTATATGCTATTTAGTACTTAATATGAATATTTATTAATTAAAATAAATTTATTCTAATAATAATAAAAGGGATTGCTTTTTAAATTAACTATTACTTAAAAAAAATAAAAAAACCCAAATAGTAATTCATAATTTAGAAAAATTTAATAATTTTCTAATTTATAATATCAAATGTAGTGTCGAAAATTCCGTTATTTCTTCTAGAAAATATGCAAGAAAAAATGAGTAAAGCGATTATTCATAAATCAATTACAATACATTCGTCTCTCTCTTCCCCATTGCATGTAGGAAATTAAGGAATTTCCGGCACTGTTTGTGATAGTATACTAATTACAAAAATGGAATAAGCTAATAATTTTATGTATCAAGTCGTGGTTTTTAAGAGAACTTAAGGCTTGCTGATAAATTAAAAACATTGGTTAACATGTTGCATTTCAATGCTTTTTAATTAGTTATTTATTGTAAATATTTCATAAAACAAATAAATTAATATTGATGATAACATTTATATTATAATAGAATCTAGAAGAATTATTCCTGACTAAACCGCCCCTGTAAAATCTCCCTTGGATAAGATAGACACAACGCGGCCAAGTTTCCTAAATCGAACAAGTAATGGCATAAAATAGAATATTTGTGTGATGCGGTCATGCAAAAACCTGTGACTAAATTTAAATGCGAAGGTGTTGTGTGTAGTATTTAGTGATATCTGAAGTTGTGATTGATATGGCGTTGATCAACTCGAACATTTAGGTGTAATAGAATTTATTTTATTTATTTAGTTTAGGTATAGTTAGTGATTCTAGACACACAGTGACAGTGTTCAGGTAGGAAAAATATGTTTTAGCTGGATGTATACAAATGTTTAAACGCGATTAGAATCACCGTAGGTAAATAGATTATTTCATTGAGCTTGACCTTGCCCAGTTTTTCCACATGGTAATATTTCATTTAAAATTATTTTATATACATATGACTTAATAATGCTAATGGCTGTTTTATTTTTTGTTTATTTCATTAATGACTAGTTATTATTTAGGTATAATCATAAAACTGTGATTAAACATCAATTATTAGTTTTAAAGGACATCATGTTCGAGTGGGACAAAATTAACATTTTTAGTATCTACAATTTATATGCCATGATCGGTTGTGTTCAGTTCTAATATTAAAGGTAACATTATACTTTAATTTAATTTGGGAATACCTAAAACATTTCGTAATTCCCCCGACATATTTCTAAGTTGATTGTTTCCTATTAATTTACCTACACTAAATTTTAAAAATACATTTCGAAGCGATTCTTTTTTATTAAGCAAAACTGGTTAAATGTTAAGTCGGATTTTAGTTTTAATCAGAAACTTTTTCTAAGTAGCTATAGCTATACTATAGTAGCTAGTCCCACTTTAACATTTGTATACAAACAAATAATTGAGGTTATCCATCTGCTAGTTTAACGATAATTTCTTTTTATTTTCTGAAAATAATACAATATTAGTATATTATGTATCATGTTTTATAAACGCCATTTTAGTTACGAGTTTTATTAGGCACGAGCGAAGCTTGCAAGCAAGTGTTTAATAAAAACGAGTGTCTAGATAAGTTTATAAAACGAGTTGCACACTATACTTTATCTACCACGAACACAAATAAAAATTTAAAGCCAATTTTATTTGTTTGACAATTCCGTTGACATTTGACTTATGTCAAATGTCAACGGAATTAACCTCACTTTTCTCTATGTTATAATAAAGATAACTTCAGCCCGTGACTAAAATGCCAAAAGCCACTATTGCTAACTTCAGCCCGTGACTAAAACGCCATTAAGTCACTGCTCGTCAATGAAGGAGTAGATAATATTATATTATGTATAGTTTTATAAACCCCATTTTAGTTACCAGTTATATTAGCTTGCGAGCGAGTGTTTAATAAAAACGAGTGTCTAGAGAAGTTTATAAAACGAGTTGCATACTGTACTTTATCTACGACGAACATAAATAAGAATTTAAAGACAATTCTATTTGTTAAACATTTGACATATGTCAAATGTCAACGGAATTAACCTCACTTTTATCTAATTTATAATAAAGCTAACTTCAGCCCGTGACTAAAATGCCCAAAAGCCATTATTGCTAACTTCAGCCCGTGACTAAAACGCCCTTAAGTCACTGCTCAATGTAGGTGTAGATAATAGTATATTATGTATCAAAATTCTGCCAATTTAAAATCTGCCGAATTTATAATAGAGCCAACTTCAGCCCGTGACTAAATGCCATAAAGTCACAGCTCGTCAATGTAGGTAAATAAATAATATTAATATACTTAATAGATAAAAAGTGAAATATTTTTGTATTCGATTGCTCGGTTACCATGCTAATTATAAAATAAAATATTGATTTTTATAGTAGATAAAAACATAGCATAAATCAGCTATACGTTTAATAATTATAAATGATTTACAAACATGTTTAAAGAGCATCATAGGAAAACATCGATTATTATAATAATAATTATAATTATTAATAAACTGCGCAAAGTTCATTAAGTCATTTTAAAGAAGCTTCTCATCAGAAATATTGCGCGGGCGTAAGTAATAAAAAATTAATTCATTATTAGAATATTAATTGATAGATGGTATAAAATAGCAATTGAAAAATGTTTTATTTATTAAAACTGCTTTTGGCGGTGAGCGTATAAAGAAGGTAAGCTCCCCTACTTTCTCAACTTTTACCAAACTTGACGTTCAGTCTGTTTATGGCAGTCTTAAGTCTACTAACCAGATTAAATTTAAACGCATTACATAGATAAAATGGCTACAACTAGTATGTCAAGCGAGTTTGTAATATTTAATGAATTAAATTTATGTTATTGTTGTTACAGTGACCCTTACGGTGCCCAGAATCATGGACAACAACAAAATTGAAAATTATTCGGATAACGAGGAGTACGAGGAAAATGATGTGGACGAGGTAAGTTTTTTTGAGAATTAGCGAACAACACATTTTTTTTCTTAAGGACGTCCAGTAAAAAAAGGTGTTATAATGTATAAACCCAAAGGTTAAACAAAATTTATTCGAGTTTAATAATAAATTAATTACATCAATTGTGTTACAGGATACTTGTTCATTACCTAGACTTGTTATACAACTTTTAATAAAATATATAAAAATCATTACATATTGTTTGGTAAAGAAACTGGCAGATTCAAACTGCATATCGATTTGTGCATTAGAAGACAATAACCTTAAGAGAAAGTACATAAAGCATGTACCGTTTACGTTTATATGTATACAGGGTCAATGCAATATACTAAATCTATATCAAAACAATTCCTAAAATAATTATACGCTTTCTCCGATATCGTTCTAATTAAATTTTTAACGTAAAACATTTGTTTTCATCACGTGATTTACTTTAATATTCATTATAAATACCGCGAAAGTGTTTTGTTGGCTATTTTCATTTCTCGGTCAAAAGGTTACAATAAAAATATCTACAAAAATAAATAATGAACAATTCCTAGTTTTTATATCAGACAAACATATTATACCCTAGCACAACACAATAAATAATGTGTTATTCTATAAATAATTACAATACAAAGTCTAAGTTTTTGAACCTGTTTCGTTTTCGTTGAGCCTGTATTAAAATCCATTTATTTTTTAATTGTTTCAGTTCGAAGATGCCAATGATATTAATTTGTAAGTTTCCTGAAAAATAAATCAAATTTTACCTAACAAAAAATTTTTAGACCCCAAGATATGACCTTGGAACGGGCCGTGGAAGAGGCCCAAATGGCCATCAACTTCTTTTTCAACAATCAGTTCGACAAAGCGAAAAATTTGATGAATCCTTAGTAATACATTTATATTTTTTAATATACAGCTCGACACGGCTGTCTGCGGCAGTGTTGCCAGGTGAAACAGAACAAAAAGTGGTACCAAGTTCTCGGTTTATTTAATCTAATAATTTTACATTTTAATCTTAACACAGAAGTTTAAAAAACACATCTTCTAGAATAATCCTAGAGGTTTTGTTACAGAACTACATTTATCGGTTGCTTTACGCGCTTCTCTGATTCGATATCACAAACATTCAATAGAGGGCGCAGGAAAATGTAATTTGTCTTGCCTACCTATGATGCAAGACAAATTAAATTTTGTTACCACAAATTTACTAAATTAGCATTATATTATACAAAAACACTCCGTCTAAAAATAATGATACGAAATCGTAAAAAATGACGATGGTAAGAAGTACAAAAAATGGTATAAATACCGTAGACCCTGACTCGTGTGTCGAGCTGTACTACATGTCTGAAAAGTTTTGGGACTATTAGTAAAACCTCAATTGATTTTATTTTGAAAACAGATAATAGTCGCTGAAGAATACTATTTTGTTAATGTTCTTCCAAAATAGCATGGTGATCTAGTAAACCGTCCCGGGACCGATCAGCCCATGTATGACGTACAAAACTAATGAATTGTTTATTTCAGTCACACAGTCTCAGTCTACCACTCTTTGGGCCACTCAGTGTTCCTCTTTCTCGAGGCGATATTAACATTCGAGCAAACCTCAATAATATCAGCTTCAAAAGCGCTCAAACAATCACTTGTGGTGTGTAACAGGTTTCGTAAAAGAAACACCATAGGCGAATCGTTGGGTAAAATGGTGAAGAGAACTAACTACGACCAATTCACTGAAGAAGAGGCCCATGCGGAGTTGTGCCACGCCGAATGCCTCTTGCTCAAATCAATGCTAACCTTCATGGAGGATGAAACTCTAAGCAGCTTCATCAAAGCCGGGATTAAAATTAGATCGTGTTATAACTCTTACAAGGATTGCCATCAAATTCTAAAGAAGAAACCTTGGGATAAAGACTCCAACAAACTACACTTCGAAAGTGGTGTTAAAATGGGAATTGGAACTTTTAATTTGATGATATCCATGTTGCCCTCAAGAGTTATAAAGCTTTTAGAGTTTATAGGGTTCTCTGGAAATAAGCAGTTAGGTTTGGATGATCTTCACAAAGGCTACCAAATGGACGGCTTACGTCAAATTTTGTGCATCATGACCCTATTGGGTTATAATTTAATAGTTATGCATGTTTTGAGTCATCGAGAGGGCGATGTACGAATTTGCGAAGAAATACTTGAGAAGCAACTTCAAAAATATCCTGAGGGGGTTTGGTTTTTATTTTTCAAAGGCCGTTTAGAGTTCATGAAAGGCAATTTGGATGCTAGTCTTCAGTGGTACACCAAATCATGGAAATCGCAGAGTGTATGGCCTCAATTCCACCATATTTGCTTCTGGGAGATGCTTTGGGTTCATTGGTAAACAAATATTAATATTCACAAAATATTTTATATATATGTATGTTTTACTTAGCTTAAAATGTGAATGGCGCGAGGCACTCGTTCACAGTTCTCATTTAATACAGGAGAGCCGCTGGTCCAAAAGTTTGTATAGCTACCAAAAAGCCTGCATTATGATCATGATCAAGGATGAGCTCACTCAAGCTGAAATCGATGAAGTTAATCGACTGATGAAGTAAGTCTACATTACATTAAAAACCTTGTTATAATAATATTTTTTTAGAGACGTGCCAAAATACAAACAAAGAATCGCTGGTAAATCTCTTCCGATGGAGAAGTTCGCTGTGAAAAAGTCCGAAAGGTATTTCACTCAAGGACAACAGTTAACCGTTCCAGTTCTGGAGCTGATGTTCCTGTGGAATCTTTTCAAGGTCCTGAAAAACAACAATGTAGCAAACAATATTTACAAGCTGGTGCAAAAGGAACTCACCACCCTGAATGCCAACGCTTCCCCTTCGAAATATGACACCGATAATAGAGCTTTAATTTTGCTTATCAAGGGAGCTTGCTTGAGACACATGGGTAGATTACTTTTGGCCTTGGAGTGTTTTGAAGCTGTGATTTCACTCCAAAAGGAAATCGTTGAGGATAACTATCTGGTACCATATGCTATTGTGGAGTTAGCCTTAATTGAATGGCAGAATGGAAAAAAGGAGAAGGCTGTGTTGGCTCTAGAGGATGCAAAGTATGTCATACCAATAAAATTGTGATTATAAATAATACGAATTATTTTTTCTTTCAGGAAAAATTACACTGGATATTCTCTGGAATCCAGATTACATTTCAGGATACACACTGCATTAACAGAGTTTAAAGCTGAGTTAAAGTCATAAGATATAAACAATACTAGTTCCTTCTTGCATTTAACTAATCTTACATTATATTATATAAAATATTCAATTATTTTTTGTATAAGGCTGTGTTCTTTTATTATTATTTTTTTATTGGTGGTTACTGAAAATCGTTAAGAAGTGCGCAGGGTGGTATTAATTGTTACAGTATTTTTTGTTACAATGGTAACTAATAGCCTTATATTGCTAGCTTCTGTCTCTTTTTATAGTACTTCGTGTCTTATGCGCATGTCCGAGACTTGACACAACATTCTATTTGACTATCAGCAATACAAGAGTATTAGATATATTATTAGGTATTTATAATGTTTATAAACTTGTTAAAAATTATTATTATTATATTATTGTTTTTTTTAATAGAAAATAATTTCTTACACCTTACATCTGTATTTTATTGTTTCAATCCCTTACGCAATATATTATATATATATTGATTTTATGATTTCAAAAAAGCGACGCATTGATCCGTCGTGCGCCTCAATACGTATATAGGCAACCCCTAGTACATTCTTATCAGATTTCTGTGTATTCTGGGTTGTCTAATCTAAATTATTAAATGTAATATTCGAATTAAATAAAAGAATAATACGTACAATAGGTACAAAGTTGTTTGTGTATTATACTGTTTTTGCGTTTATTCTAAAAATACATTGTGATTATGCAAAACGCTGATAAAATCTCTTCAATTAAAATTTATATCGCAACAAAATAATTTTGAAGTGGTAATAATTTTTTATAACTTTGATTAATTTTTTAATGATCAATTCCGCGAAAATAAAAACCTGGTTTTATTCAAAAAATTATAGTTAATGGGTAAATTAACTTCAGCGAAGTATAAACAATACTACAATGCATTAAATACCTTGAAAATAATTATAGGTATATAACTGAGTCATTGTTTACTTGATTCCCTAATATAAGCGGATTCATCTCAATATCATTAAATGCTCAGTATAATAAAAAAATTCAAGGTCGAACGTGATGATCAATTCCAACTTAACAGGTAGGTCTATTCGGAAGTTAAATATTTTTCAGGGTCAATGATGTCTAAAAATTACAAGTGTCGCCTTATCGGCAACAAATTGTGGCAAACTGGCGCTACCCATATGACGTTTTAATTAATTTCCTATTAGAACGGTAATCTTTAATTGAAAGATTAAAAGTGCTTCATTTGGCAAATTTACCTGTTATGTGATAATTTAGTTAAAAAATACTTTCACCGCTGACATGACGTAATTTTTTCTGTAAATTTTGTATGATTAAATGTATTTGCATTTTTATTAAAAATTTCATTTTTGTTAAATATGCAATTTTGTTGGTTTTAAATCATTAAAATATCGTTGAAGAAAATTAGGCATTTAGGCCAATTAGTGAGAGAAATATTTAGGCATAATAGTGTTTAGAAGAAGCTGAAGACAACATTGATTTATACTGCCTATCAATGTATTTTTACATTCATTCAGTGAATGTAAATATATTGTTGATAATGTTTTAAAGTTTTTTAATGAAGAAAGATAAAAATCACTTTTATTTTCTTTATAATATATGCATATGAGTGGAGGAGATGAGAATGAGTCAGCTGATGAATCGGGCAGTGTATAGTCTAGGAGAAGAGCGAGGGACCAGCAGCCGTAGCAGTAAGGTGGTGGGGCAGGGGGGGCAAAGGACGACCAACGTATACCAACCAACTCACCTTACCACTTCCATCAACAGCCAAGCCAGTATACGACATTCTACTTTAGTCTAGTCACCAACGAAGTGGGCACCCACACACTCACACACGCTCGCACGTACAGCTGAATAAATTAGCTCTACAAAGTCGCGTAGAGATGTTACAAAGTTGTTGATGCAACAAGTTGTGAATTGTGATCAGTGCGAACATGTCCAGCGAAAAGAACCTCTCGAAGGCCCGTCTGTGCCACATACAGAAGTGGGACCACTTCGACGGCTACGGGTTCAATCTTCACGCCGAGAAGGGCAAGCCCGGGCAGTACATAGGCAAAGTTGACGAGGGCTCGCCGGCCGAGGCCGCCGGCCTGAGGCAGGGCGACCGCATCTTGGAGGTAAACGGCGAGAGCATAGCCAATAAGACGCACAAGCAGGTAGTCGAACTGATTAAGGCCCAAAGCGGCGAAACGAAGTTGCTGGTGGTGGACCCCATCGAGGATGTCGTGATACTGACCGATGCGGCCAAAAGCAACGGCAGCGACGTCTCGAAGAAGGAGCAACAGGAAAATGGCACGCTCAACCTGAACATGACGGCCGCCGAGCTGAGGGCGCAATTGGCGGCCAAAAAGAAGTTCGATCCCAAAAAAGAAGCCATGGATTTTAAACAGAAGTTCGACATTGTGCAGAAACTATAGATACACGTAGTGCAGTGAATTAAGACGTTTATTTGTATTTTTGTTGATATTGTCAGTGTTGCATTAGAGAATAGTGACCTTGCTAAAATCACGTTGGAAACCCGACAATGCTATACAGGTGTTACATAAATAACAGTGGTGAAATTAATCATCCGAAACTTTTTCTATAATTACTTAAACCATCACTTCCTTCGATTATCAAGACTTTTCCGTTCTGTTCTTTTTAGCTTTTTCATTGACAACCTTAAATAATTAGCTGCATACAGTCACTCTTTATCCTATTTATCTAATCACAACAATATTTATTTTTGATAGCTAACGAATATCAAACACAAAGATTATTGTTAATTTTTTGTTTTCTCTAATAAGGTTCTTTTCAAAAAAATGATAAAATATCAGAAATTATTTTTAGTTATATACTATGAGATTACGACTTATTTTTGTTTTAAAAATGGCTTTAGCCCTTATTTTTGTAAGATATATGTTATATAATTTTATGTAAAAAATAAATAAATCATAATGTTTACAGAAGGTTTTTATTTCTCACAAGGCAACACTAATTACCATTATTAACACCTAGTTTATTCAAAAGTAACACCATCATAAATATAATAATAATCCCTAACCTTCTAACAATAAGGTAATCAATAAATATGTTTATGTATTACGTATAGCAATTTTTTCTCTCATTAGATTCACCAGCATGGTTTCCTTGATTCAAGAGGCTGCGTCAGATGTAAGACGAAATTTCGCACGGCGTCTCGGCAAGGCAAACAAGAACGAGACACCTTGAAAAAATTAACATAAGGTGAAAATAAGTAATGAAAGTATTGGCTGTAGGTAAGGTTGATCATTACAGTGTAACATGTTGTCAGATGCAGACCCAGAGGACCACTACAATCCTTCTGTCAGAATAGTCGACTTGAAACGCAATGGCACCAACTGTGGCTTCAAGCTGACCAGGGGTAAGTGGGACCCCTACCCCTGGGTGACGAAGGTGGAAAAAGACTCTGCTGCGGAGGTGGCCGGGGTCAAAAACGGCGACTGCCTGTTGGAGCTCGACAGCGAAGATGTGGTTGGAAGAAGAATATCAGAAATAGCCGATTTGGTCAAGGGAAAGTCCGGTAAAATATCCTTGTTGCTTTGGAACGCCGGAATCGACCGACAGTGTTCTCCAGAGGTAAAAATTACGTAATTATTCCCACGTTTAACTTATATCCTGTAATTACATTATTTGCTGTTTTTCTCAATTTATATCGTATATCAATTTCATTACATCGAAAAAACATGAACAACAATTGAAATAATTCGAGTTTATATAAACATTTTACAATCTTATTTTCTCGCAATAAAATTATTTTGTTATTTATTTATCTACCACACTAAGGTTAAGAATTAACCTCAATAACAAAATTATTAAAAAATGCAATTAAATATAATTTAAATCAACGTTTTTTCCAACATTAAAATTTATCATAAATTTGTCGTGTCGATATCAGTATCACAAGGACATAGGATAAGTCCGCTTGTGGCTAAAAAAGATAAATTGTTAAAATATTCTCTGAAAATATTTAAAATAGTTATTCATAGTCACGTAATTATTCCAGTTAATGTCTAGAGAATATAAATTAGGTACACAAGCAAATGAACTATTTCGGACACACTTTTCTAAATAATTTCTCCAACTCGAAGCCTATTGTAAAATTTGTCATATTATAAAGAATTTCACGTTTCAGTTTAAATCATAGAACGCTTTATGATTGTATACCAAGTACAGACATGGAATTATATTTGCACACTTACGTCTATTGTTGCTACATTCTCAATTCATTGCTTAAGATGACATAACGAAAACAAAACATGTGTAATTATTTATCATTCTTGGTGCCACATTGTATTATTTTCAAATGTAATTAAAAAAAATAAAAAAAAAATTGTGAGGTCGCCAGGTATCCCGATACCTCTTGCATGCCCAATAATACCTTTGAGCACAATTCCGCGCCTGGCACCAATACTACTAAAAATAAAACCATAGCATTTGCAAATAATACTATTGTGTATTAATTTTGCCCAACACTTTTGAAATAAATATGTAATATATTATCTGTGCAAATCGTCGCCATAACAATCTATTTACAACAACAACAATGTAAATAACAAAAATAAGCAGTCGATTTTTTTTTGCAAAAGAAAACGTGTATCATAATAACGAATTTTTTTTTACTGTTAGGCTTATTTAATCTCATAAATTACGACTGCAATATAATTTAAAGTAATTTACCGTTTAAAAATAATAGCTTACTGTAGAAATTATTGTTACATACATTACCTGAACTCTATGCAACCAAACGTGTTCTATCTAAACTGCAATAAAAAGATATTAACCGCAAGAATTAAGATATTACAAAATACTGATTAACATGCCTCAAAAACAAAATAATTCGAACGTTGACTTAATTGTTTACAAATCAATTAACTTACGTATTAATATATTTGGTCAATGACACGTAGTCAAAATTGTAATTGTCGCGCGTCACAAAAAATATATGATAAAAAATGCCATATGTTAAAGTAATCTTTTTTCAGGCGCTATGCTGTGGTCCCATGCCTAATAATTTACAAAGGCTGTCAGCTTGCATGTCCATTATACTAACGTTTCTAGAATGTCCCGTATGTTTAGACACCATTCCACCACCTACGTATCAGTGCGATAATGGACATTTGATATGTATTAGATGCCGAGCCAAGTCTGAAAGATGCCCTGTCTGCAGACAAAGATATGGGAGGGGAAGATCATTATTAGCTGACCAAGTACATTTCTAAATATATAAATACCTTAATATCGATGGAGAATCAAAAATAAACTTTCTACAACAAACATAACGCGCTACATTGTCAAATATGTTTTCTGAAGAATCATTTTCGATTCTCTATCAATCAAGCAAATCACCAAAGTTTTAATACTTAAATTTAATGACGTTTAACCCGGACCCCCCTTCTAGTACAGTACTTATATTTTTTGCATCCTCAGATCTGATCAATCAAGAATTAAGTTCCATATTTCTGTACTGGAAGGTTGAAAGAAAAATACTAAAAATAAAAATTTTGGGCAAAATGCATCTGTTCAAAATAAATCATTCCAGACTTGATCTGATTTATTTTGAATGTTCGTAAAATGAGTAAAAAGCTTTCACTTACCTTGTTTTCTTCAAGGTGTACAATTCCATCGTGGATGCGTTTGGTCTAAAAGAAGATACAGATGAAGCCAAATCAGCGAAAATCCAGCAAATTTTTAGATTAAGAAAGAAAAACGTACCTGACATAAAAGTGACGCCTTCCCATGCGAATAAATTTTTGGCGAAAATAGTTGGGAAGGCATCATCGGTTGATAATTTATCGTCAACATCGAAATTGTCGTCACCTAATGAAGGTGATTTAAAGGCGAAATCGTTGTCGACGACGGAAATATTTCAGCTGGATACACCCCCCGTATCAAGGTCTGGTTCTATAGGAAGAATCAGTAGAAACGATAAAAATAGGATTCGAAGCATGGAGGAGGATAATAGGCCAGCTTCGTATCATGGTTCCTATGACTCTTTAAATGATATTATAACCACGACGAAATTTTCAGAGGAAGAAACATTGTATCATTGTCCCTTCGATTTAAAATGCACATCCTTACTTAATGGTCTGTTTCATTTAGTAATTAATAATTAGTTAATACTGTAATTTTAGGTAAAAACATTTTCCACCATTTTCAAGTAACCCACAACGGGCCTTTGGTTCAATTCTTTAAACCCCATGTGAAAGTTAACCTAAGAAAAATCCTGGACGAGCCTGAACTGTGCTACGTTATTAATAGTGAAGGAAACGCATTCTTCCTTAAAATGGTTTTAACGGAATCAAGCAACGATGAAGGGTAACAAATAAAAATTTACAGATTACGTCCTCAAGTAAACATTTTTTAGAAATTCAAAGGACATTTTGATATGGCTGTGGTATTTAGGTTCGAAGAAGTCCTCGAAAGAGTTCGAGATGCAAGTGGAGCTTATGAATGAATCGACAAATCGCACTCTATTGAGCGTGAGAAGTTCAATATTTTCATTGAGCGCCGTATCGGGCCAAGAAATTCAAGACTGCAAAAAAGGGATCTTTTTGAGTGCCAAAACGTTGAATACGGTGACGCACGCGTCTAGCAACGACATGCTGGATTTAAAAATATTAAAAACCGATGTAGAATAGAGTATTTATCTTCAGTATTAATAGATTTAAGTTTTTATTTTTACATTGGATGTATTTATTATAATTATAAGCGCGTTAAGTGTTATTATGGTAGGCAACCCGGATTGCACGTTTCGCTTGTATTTTCCAATCAAAGTTTCGAATTTGTGTTTGTTTATTTTGATTTTGAAGTTGGTTTGTTAATTAATTTGTTAATCATCAGCAATTATCTAAATTCGTCAATATTGATAATGAAAGGGAAGGGATAAGGGAAACTATTTGCTCAAGATAAATAAACATTTATTTCTTAATAATTATAACAATAAACTTTCTTATATTACAAGTATCCCATGTTTTTTTGTATTTGTCGGATACTACATCATCATAATATGAAAATAGGGTAAATCTTATTTGGTAACAATTTTTTAGTTTTAAAATTTTTGTAGAAAATTTAAATATGTACACTTAAATAAAAATCATTTCATAAAAATAAATAATTTAAAATTGATTTTTTGGTTTTCTTATTTTTTTTTCGTCAAAAATTTACAAATTATTTACGCTGATAATTTGATTAATCCAACCGATGAACGATGACACTTTTACATAAACACCTGGTACATCTATTCTACCACAACCAAAACCCCATGAAACCAGTCCTGCCAATTCATAAAAACCATCGTCTTGGCAAACCAATGGCCCTCCACCATCGCCCTAAAAAAACCATTAGATTGTTTCTTTGTTAAGTTAAGTGAAAAACATACCTGACAAGCGTCATTTCCTTCTTCACCACCAGCACAAAAACTGCTGGCGGGAAGAATAAATATTTTTTCAGTTACCGCATTCACCTTCCTGATGCACTCGGCATCACTTACTATGGGTATCTCAGCTTCCCTTACTCTCAACGGTATAGGTCCAGCTAAATAAAAAACAATTAAACAAAACACCACAATGTACCACTACTGTACCTTCACCCATGTACCCATAACCCGTGACAGTGCATCTTTTCCCGGCAGCGTGGTTAACACCGCGAGCCGGTAGGCACACCAAGCAAACTCCTTCCTTCAACTCGGCTTGCCCGTGCAGCTTCAATAAAGCTATATCGTTATCCAAAGTCTGACTGTTGTGGTTATGGTGAATGTACGTGGTCGCCACTCTTAAAGTCTGAGCCCCGGGACTTCCGTATTTCCTGGTCAGATCGTGATCTCCAACTCTCACGTATATCGCATCTCCAGAACGAACAATACTGAAAACAACACACCTAAAGACGATTTCGTTTTGAAGGAGCACATCTCTTACTTTGTCACACAATGTGCTGCAGTCAAAACCCATTGCGTTCCTATAAGGGCAGCGCCACAAAGATACTGATTCAAAGAATTGATGAGTGCAACTTGCCAGCACCATTCAGCTTGGTCACCATCCTCACCACCAACGACTCTTCCCGTTCTTGATGTACCCTTCACACCACACACGTATTTACTATAAATCGGAGATCTCGTCGTAGTTGAGATGGATTTGCTGATTTCAGTTGCTAAAAAACACCATGAGTACAAATTTCTCAAACATATTGTTAACGGTAGTACTTGTGGTGACTGTTAGCGGTGACGTAGTAGTATGCGGTATAGAGTTTTCTATAGTACTATCTTTCATCCCTGTATCTTCTTTATTGCTGGCTTCTTTAATCAAGGTTTTTGGTGCGCAGCATTTAGTTCCCGATTTTCTACATTTAAAAACCTCAGTCATTTCAGCATTTCCTATAAATAAAAAAAACATAAACTAAACATCAACAATTGAAATCCTCTAGATACTCACTGAAGCAAGTAAAGCTTAGATATGAAACAATACACGATCCAGGACATTCCGGTCTGGGATCTACCGTGGTGGTAGTCGTCGTGGTTGAAGGTTGTACAGGTCTAGGTCTAGGTCTGGGTTGTGTGGTGGCCCCTCTAGTGTTATCGCAGCAAATCGAGCCCCTCTGGCAGTTTGAAGTGTGCGGTATGAGAACCGAAGGCCTTTCGCAGAAAGCCGCCATTATGTTTAACAAACAAAAACCTGGGCATCGAGGCCCCGGGTCTCTCGTCGTAGGCCGGTAAGTTGTGGTGGTAACCCTTGCGGGCGGTTCCGGAGATTCTTCATTTAACTAAAATTTGATAAACGGAAATAATTTAATTTGCTCCTTAATGATTGAACTTACTGGAACAGTTATGCAGCAACTTCCCTCATTCGGGCAGTCAGCATCAGAGTCAATATCATCGCAAAACAAAGCGAACAACCCACTGACACACTCTCCTTTGCACGGCTTCAAAACTGAAGGTGTATATTTCGCCGGAGTTGTCGGTTGCTTTGAAGCGACCGTTGTTAAAGGAGTTGTCGGCTTAGGAGTCGTTCTCACTTCCGGCTTCGAATAAGTCGAATAGTTGCCTTTGGTTTTCGTGGGGATTATTAAATTTGGTGGAGGTTTATCGCCAAACGCGTCGCTGGATACGCAACATCTCAGGCCGGGTTTGCACAAGTTTTCAGTCGGCAAAATCGCCTCGCAATAGTCGGCTATTCGCTCGGCCACGCATACACCTGGACAGGCTTTTTCAGAAGCTAAAATAGGTTTCATGATTTAGAATTTAACAAAATAAAAAGTTTGGGGGGTTTGAAGTAACATGAAAAAGAGGCAAATCAAAAAACTATTCCAACGATACTCTAACTCTACAGCGAATTTTTCAGTTGATCTGATGGTTCTTCAGCACCTTCCAGAACTTTCAGCATCATTTTTTGATGTACGATGATGAGTTCTTGATGGTGGAATATTCTGAATGACTGAAAAGCTCTATTTGGCATGAAATCAAAAAGCACTTTTTCCATATTTTCAAAAATGGAAAAGAGGATTTGCGGACTTGTAGGATGATTTGTGATGGTGGTGCATCAGAACGATGATAAGTTTTTGATGGTGGAATATGCTAGTCGCCATAATTTGGCTTGAAAACTATTTTTCCATCAAATAAAGACACTTTTCATATTTTCAAAAATGAAAATCAAAACTTGTTGGGAGATTAAATTAAAGTTCATCGTTAAGTAATATCTAAGATTTTAAAATACATGTCTTCTAGAATAATATAATATTAATAAACCTAATATGCCCTTTATGCATAAAAGCTACTTACTGTTATTTTTAACGTCGTTGGTTGTGTTTTGGGCGTTTTTTTCAGGTCCAACCTGTTAGAAAAAAATACACATTTATTGCTGTTGTTGGGGTAAATATGCCTAGAGTGTATTTACTTAACAGACGGAGTAAATAAAAAATACACGTGTTGGTGTAAAAGTGAACTCCGTCTGTTAAATGAATATACAGCCCGTTCAGAGTAAAACCGAATATAGGAAAACGTTTTGGGCGTGGCCTCGCCTCCCTCCAACGCGCGACACAGTAGCTAAGCAAATAGCCTGCATCGCTAATGAGATTTTTTGCATTATTATCATTTAATTTTTAAGGTCGTCTTACCTGCTTGACCTTTCGTCGTGTCGTTTATCACACAGCTCTGAACGGGCTGTATGCACAGAACAACATTAATTTGGTTATACCTGATTTGAGGTAGTCGTTATGGGCGTTGTTGTCGTAACGACAGTCGCTGAAGTTGTCGTTATCGTTGTCGTTGCTGCCGTTGTGGTCGTCGATTGCGTCGTTGTGGTTGAAGGCCTCGTCGATATTGTCGTTGTTGCGTTCGTCGGTTGAATTATATCCGTTGTGTTTGGGGCTGGTGGTTCCACGCAACACTTCATAGAAGGGTTCGGGCATGTTATGTCTTCTAACACGTCATAGCAAATAATCGTGGCTAAAGCATGCACGCACACTCCAGGACAGTCTTTGGAGTCGGCAGTGCTTGTTATTGTGTCCAAAAGTCCTTTATCACATATAGAAGTCAAATCATCATCACAGTATTTTATTATTTGTTATTATTATTATTATGTTTCGAAATCTCTATTAAATTCCAAGTAACTTTATATAATACTTAATAGAGCCTTTGTCACGTGTAATGTTAAAAACAATGTTATTTTGTTGACCTATATTTGTTTTAATATAAATTTTACTTTGGTTAATGAAAAATTGAAAATAGGCAATAAATATTAAAGTTGTTGAATGTATTTTGCGCCATGCAAACAGCGTAGTGCAGGAAAAACTATTAAATTTTATCTGATGAAAAAGTAAACCAATGCATCATAAAAATTAAAATGGTAAAACATAATTATTTGTAATTAATAGATAGGTGTATAAATAAAAATAAATATTAATAAAATGTTGTTAATTTGGAAAACGTGTGTGGTTAATGTATTCATCAGTCAGTTATTGTTGTATAACAGTAAATTAAAAGAGTACCGTTGTGTTATATTTCAAGTGAGTCAAGTCAATTTGTGTGCGAATTGTGTAAGATTAGGGAGACATACCTGACAGAAAACTGCCGGCTAAAGAATCGTCTTGGGCCTGAACCCTTAATAGCACACTGCACAATAATACCACGAGAGCTGAACTCCTGGTCCTGCACATATTAGCGGTTTGTTAGACACAAATCGGGCACACTGAGATCGTAAACACCAAACCTAGTGCATCGCAACTACGAACAATCACCCGAAGACTTTTGATTCATTCATACGCGATAGAATAAATCACTTAATTTACCGTTGCGGCCCAACCAAGTCTTCTTCTTCGTCTTCACTTCACCACTCCACCGTTCGTGTTAAGCTACTACATGTATACATCAGTATCAGTTATACAGGTACCCGCGGTTTGTGACGATACCACTACTGCACAGTTAACTTAACCATATTCAGGACCTGTCCTTGACATCAAGGTCAATGACCTCCACGCTACCTTGTCTTCGGTACCTCAACATTTACTCCTACACCTCGCTCATCCCAGCATACCTTCAACAACAACCTATTCTTCTAGACACGACCACTTTAACTGACCTACTATTGTACACTTTTTTTATTATCATCATCTGCAACAACTAAAGGTACTCTCTTTTACATCAGCACAATTTCCTGTCTTCATTCACTTTATTCAATAAACACCTGCAACAAAATCATTTTATAACTTTTATAGAAAGTAAGTTGCGCTAAGGCGACCAAATTTATGTAATAAAATACTCAGAGCCAACTAAAATTTAATCAAAGCTCGGTTACATTTAAAAGAATTTCATTGGGTTTGCACTAATTTAAAAGCCTTTGGCTGAATTTGACGTTCCATTTAAAAATCGTTTATGGAATATCAAAAATAAAGCTGAACTGTCAGGAAAAAAAAGATACAAATATTCTACATTCAAAAATTTAAAAACTAAATCTTGCTTTGTTTTTGAGATACACAGCAAGACCTTTGAAATAAGGTATTACTTGCCCTAACTAATTGATTTTATAAACTTTAAAAGTATTGTATTATACAGAGGGTATCTTTTTTATTAGAAGACCTACAAGATACAAGTCTATTAAAATGGCATTTAAAAACTGGGAAAAAATCAGACGTTCTAATAATTTAAAAGAAATGAAGACCTATCAAATCCAAAAAATACTTCGTTTTTCCTGGGAATTTTGAAAAAAAGTCAATTTTACATTTACATAAGTTACAGCGGCCTTTAAAAAACAAAAAAAGGTGATGGTAACTCAAAACTGGGTAAAAATGTAGATTAATGTGTATGTATGTTTCCATGTAAAATTTACATTGGCCAGTCCATTTTATAAAATACAAAACGCACTCTGGTGAGAGAAATCATATTAGAAGAAGAAGAAATATAAACTAACCTTTATTCTTAACTGCAAATCTGAAATTTGGGGAAGGTTAATAAAAATCAACAATACGTTTTTACAATATTTATTTTTTAACAAATATTACAGTATATGGGTATGCAGTTTTGCTACACTTAGTATAATCAATATGAAATGTGAAGTTTCATCTATAGAATGGAAAAAAATGTCGAAATCAAATCGCTTTGGTATACAGGGTGTGGCATCTAAGAGGACACCAATAATAATTATAATTGAGTTGACCCGCCCTGTATAGCAAAACTTTGTAAGGACAAAGCTTATATTTCGAAACATGAAATCGTATTTTTTTTTGTTTTACCTTAACAATTTAAAAAACAATATTCAAAAATACACTCAACCGTATTGAAACAGTCAAAGTATTTTAAATATATGTATTTACAAAAACTGTACAATTATAACAATAATTTAACGTGAAAATGCATCTAATAATTGGTATCTAAAAATAAATAAATAAATATATAGGTGAATATCGTGTTTTTTGTGGATAAGTATACAAAATGATTATTGGTTATATACAAATAATATTTGAAAGAAGAAAACATTGATGTTTACAGGGAAAAATCGCCCTGTATCAGTGCTATGTTAAACATTTATAAATGAGAACATCAGTTTATAGTACTAGAGACTTATAATATGTACATGGTCTTTTAAGACACTAAGTCAAATTCCATTTTACTAATTTTTTTGTAATCAATCCCATGTTATAATTATGTACGATTGTTTTGGTTTTGTAAAGAAAAAATAAATGCAACATCTTTGACCTATACCGTATTTTCATTTTAGGTGTATACAGCTTACGCGTTGTAGCGGCATTCGGTTTTTAAGAGGGAGAATAATTCGCTATAACAACAGATATTCAGTCGCCCACTCACTAAGATTGAGTATTGCGCTGTATACTTTTAGCATGAAAATACGGGGTTTTCTATGATCCAAATTAACAAGCCCGCAAGTGTTTGCAGGATTCTTAATATTGAGAATATATACATAATATACTTATTATTAATAATTAAATTTAAGAAGACTTAACCTATAGCATGTATATACACAATCTATCCTGTATCACATTCTTTCAACTTTTTTCCTGCAAAAAAGTAGATCCAACCTGAAAATTCTATCCTGTCCCCGTATAGAGTATAACAATGAGACACCTAATACGAAATAATGTCTTTATGTGTTATAGTAAACCTATAGATTTTAGTAATATTTAAATGTATATTACGCTATAACAGACTTTAACATCCATATCCAGTGTATTATTAATTTCAGCATATACCGAAACTTTTCACGATGCACCTGAAAAGTTTACTAAATTGTGCACCCTGTATGGTTTAAAATTAAAGTTATGCAACATATTTCACATACATCAATCAACTAGGGGGTATGTTTTGGGAATATTCCCAGAAAATCCATGGTTTTGCAATGTGAGTCACCTGTTTGTTTATCTTTACCAATACTTCTTAAGTTTGCCGTGGTAATGTGATACGATAACTTTTTTGTGAATTAATCAAAACTAAATTTAAGTTTTTAATAACAAAAAATGTCACAATCATAAAATTGGCACAATTAGTTGAAAACAATGATTATCAAACAAAGACCACCAGGACAAACAGCATATTTACTTGAAAACGCTAAAATGAACAAAAGAACGTAACTTTTATTTATAATTCTTCAAACAATAGCTGACACAACGAGCTATTTGGTATTGGTAAAAAGATTTATTTCGGAATTTAATGACGCTATTCAGATTTTAGCTACCTTGCGAAACCAGAGTTTACATTAAGAAAGTACCTTGTGTAAAGATAGGAGAGGATCAGGACTAATCCTATTGTCCAAGAACTATTGGAGAGTCCCGCTGATCCAGTCTGCATGGCTGCTGGCCTTTCACCTATAAAGAAATTACACTCAGTCAACGACGAATTTACCAATTTTCTTTCAATTCTTGAAGTGAAACTTTTTTGCGGCGCATCATACTCGTTTGTGTTTCCGTGGCGTAAGGAATGTGTGGATGTGCATTAGTAAGAGAGAGATATAAAAACCGATTTATTATTATTATTTGACATCTAAGTGTCCTTATAACTTTTGTCATTTTTGACATCTGTCAAAAAGATGTATAAAAGACATATGTCAAAATAACAGATATTTCGGGTAATTGAAAACTGCTCTTAAATTTAATTTATTTAAAATTTATTCAAAACCAAGTAATTAAAAAGTGCACATTACAATGAATGTTTCGGGTAGTGAAAAACTGCCCATATTCGAACAAAATTGGATAATTAAAAACTGCCCTTATTTAAATTATTTAAAACAGTGTAATTTAAAACTGAACTTTAATTAATATTTCGGTTAATGGAAAACTGCTTAAATTTAATTAATTTAAAACCAGGTAATTGGAAACTGCACAAAATAAATGTTTCCTTCCCGCCTAAATTTTGATAAAATTAGATAATTATAATGGTAATTAAAAACTGCCCTAACATCTAATTTATTTAAAACCGGGTAATAAAAAACTGCACATTAAAATTAATGTCTAGGGTAACCACCCAAATTCGAACAAAATTGGATAATTGAAAACTGCCCTTACATTTAATTTATTTAAAATCGGGTAAGTAAGTAATTGAGAACTGCAAATTAATATGAATGTTTCGGGTAGTGAAAAACTGCCCATATTCGAACAAAATTGGATAGTTAAAAACTGCCCTTATTTAAAGAAAATGGGATAATTGCCTTTACATTTAATTTATTTAAAAGTAGGTAATTGGAAACTGCACAAAATGAATGTTTCCTGTAATGTAAAACCGCCTAAATTTTAATAATGATTATAATAATGATAATGATTATCGATCCTGGTAATTAAAAACTGCCCTAACATCTAATTTATTTAAAACCGGGTAATAAAAAACTGCCAAATTCGAACAAAATTGGATAATTGAAAACTGCCCTTACATTTAATTTATTTAAAATTCTGTAAGTAATTGAGAACTGCAAATTAATATGAATGTTTCGGGTAATGAAAAACTACACAAATTTAAAAAAAAAATTGGATAATTGAAAACTGCCCTTACATTTATTTAAAACCGACTAATTAAAAACTGCACATTAAAATTAATGTTGCGGGTTGCCAAAGTCAAAATTGTATAAATAAAAACTACACATTAAAACTGCCAAAATTTGAACAAAATTGGAAAATTAAAAACTGCCCTTACATTAGATTTATTTACTGCACATAAAATTAATGTTTCGAATAATCGAAAACTGTTCAAATTCGAACAAAATTGGATAATTGAAAACTGCCCTTGCTTTTAATTTGTTTAATTGAAAATTATCGATTAATTAAAAACAAAACACGTATTTAATTAGGCCGTTTGGTCTGAGATTATTATTATTAATTTTGCGCATCCACCAATTTTGCAAATTTGGCGAATGCACGAAGAAATAATTCTTCAAATAAATTAATGCAAAGTCTCAAAAACGATGAAATATCTGTTGTGTTCTTGCATCTCAGTGACATATATTATAATGTATACAAGCAAAATAAACTACGTCATCACGTTATCTGAGTTTTAATGTAGGGCAAGCGTTTCAAACATAATGGGTAGTTGCTGAATTAAATGGCCAGGTAAATACGATATTAACCATTAAATCTTAAGTTATATCTCGAATGTCGGGTATTAAACAAAGTGAATTCCCCGCTGACAGCTACAAGTTATGTAATTTTAAAGGAATCTCTATCACAAAGGCCAGAACCGAGGCCAATTTAACAATGCGTTCAGCAAACGGCTCATAATTAACCTATTAATTGCACAACAACGGCCATCTTGGATTTTTAAACGACAGAGACCACTTCATTAGCCAATAATAGAGCTACATGATCGCGCTCCTAATGGGGCCTTAGTAGCAGTTGTTCGGCAAAAATACCAACTTGGCCGATTTAAATGACCGAAGTATGGCCATTCGGAAAATGTGCCGCTTTGCCCTTAAGAACAATGTGAGAAGCGAAATTGAGAAAATATCATCCACTTATTAATTAAACATAAAAAGTAATCCAGTTAATCGACGAGCTAAAATATAATTTGCATTTTATTGACAGAGATTTTTAATTAAAAAATTATTCAATTAACCTCTCAATTGTTCCGAATTTCAAATTTAATTCCACCTATGGCTTACATTGTTCAAACTCCGTTATTAAAAAATGTTCGCATGATGCTTGCCCATATAATTACCACTGTTCGACAGTTTAAAATATTCCGCAGTTTATCTCGAGGAAATGTGTAATATTAGCTATAACTCACCGTTCAGGACGTGCACTCTGACACTTGCCACATCGGCGTTAGATGGACTGCATGAGTATTTTCCAGAATCAGAAAGAGCTGCCTGTTGAATCAAGAGGAAAGAGGTGGTTACGTCACCTTTTTCAGTCAAAACGCTTACACCGCCGCGGCTTGAATCGTAACTTATAACCTGAAAGAAAGCATCATTATTTTTAGTGGCTTTTAAAACTTATTTTTTTACAACGTAGGTACTCAAAATTTTTCAATCCATTTTTCTATACGAATTTTGCTTCCCCCAAAACAACTCTACTATAATAAAACTTTATCACAGCTTGTTGGACTGTTTAAACAAAGAAATTAGGAAGAAAAAAAATAGTCATCACGATAATTCACCGTATTATCCAGACTTGACCCCAAGCGACTATTATCTGTTTATAAACTTAATTATATTATGTATCGAGTTAAATTTTAGTCACGAGCAAGCTTGCGAGCGAGTACTTTATTAAATGAGTGCCTAGAAAAGTTTATAAACGAGTTGCATACTATATTTTTTCAACGAAAAATACTTAATATTATCTAAAAAAATATTTAAAGCCCGTGAAATTTATATAAAAAAATGGTTAGACAAATCTTCTAAATATTTTTTTTTTGATTTCCAAAGCATAGCTTCTGTCGTGCGTACACTCACCGACACACTTGCTTTTTTATGTACGACAAATATAATAAAAGGCATTTTAAAAGAAACTTGTTATTTTAGCGTTTCACTATGTAATAAACCCCATATAAAAATTAAATGAGTAATAAAATATTTACTGCTTTTTTATTATGTCCAAAAATTCACTCAAATTCAACATAATATAACTTTTATTGAAATGGATTATGAGATGTGATTAAAACATAGCTCCCGTGTAATTTTATCGATAAGAATAAAAGTTTGCAAAAAAACTAAAATTTTATTGCGGATGTAGGTACCTAAGTGTTGGGGCCTTATATTTTTACGTCTTATTTGCCGAATTGGCTGAATGGTAAATGAAATATTTAAAACGGCCCAAACTGACCGATATACAAATTTGCTTGTATTTTAGTTTGCCAGGTACATTCATCTTTGGTTTTGCTTTTATCCTTCTGTAACCGACTTAATAAACTATGTACATTTATCACCACCAATTACAATTTCATGTTCCGCCATTGTTTTCCGATAATAATTTAGTTTGGTTTTAAAAGCTCTTTCTATACAGATATTCTCATTTAAGAACGCGAAATCCTATTAGGTTAGTTTTTTTGCCGCCTAGGAAGTAAAAATTTATTATTTATTACTCTGGACCAACTCAAAAAAGTTATAGACAAAAACCAATTAAACAGTTTAATAAAAACCTTAAAATAGTGGTTTATCATTTATAAAATCCATCTATACCAGAAATAATAACATGTATTGATTTTAACGATTGTACTATGTAATACCCGTGCTCTAACATGGGAGGAGAATTGTAGATTTTAAATATTTATAGCGGTATAAGTAATGTTCTAAATCATTATGGCAACCTATATTTTCAGGTGTCTGAGGTAACATTTATTCCGATAGCGTATCAAATTCAAATTATACAAACATTATTTTCTTCTTGCGGAGTCATATACACAAATTCAGCAAAATCATGTTGGATGTAAATTGAATAAAACCGTGGTATGAAACCAAAGGTTGTGGACAATGAGGTAAATACTATATTGCCACAGTTTTAAAAATCAGCACAAAAAATAAATGGAAAAAAGGATAATTAAAGTTTTTATTGAACAAAATTAATTATGAATTTCAACGGAATTTTATTTAGTTGCAGTTTTTAAATGTCATACAATCGTCAAAATAAAGCGACAAGAAAGTGTGGTTAGAATAGTCTGACAGATGTGAGCTTTTATTAATATTTGTGTTTTTTAATAGAACTATACCAAAAACAATAATCCAACAAGCATTTTGTTTGTTGAAGATATAAAATAAAAAAATTCTAAATTTAATACTGGAAAATTTATAAAACGTCTCTTTTAAAATTCCTAAAATTAAGGACCTAGCTGCCACTAAAAGGTACTGCCTTGTTAAAAATTGCCACTGCATAATATCAAAGAGAAAAGTTGGTATTTTATCTTAATAACACATAAAAAAATCCTTTTACAGACAGCAATGTCCTTAATAACACAAAAAATTGAAACACTGCTCAAAACAATCATTGCATATTGAAAAAAAATCCAATAAAACTACACGGGAATATTCTTACGAGTTATTGTTTTAAACACATTTTTGGTTTTACTACAAATTAACCAAACAAAAAATGTGAACAGAACGCGTAAAAATAATCCACACGTCATATTTGTTGGAGATTTTTTTATATAGTTGGAAATATGCGATGAATGTTTTAAGGAGTTAAAATTGTTAGGAAACTAAACTGTTTTTTTAAGGTTCTTTAATGAACTCACGTCATCCTGATGGTACCAAAAAATGTATGCCGGGGGTTCGGGGCTGAATCGGATTGAGCAAGTCAGGTTTATGGTGCTTCCCTTATCGACATGTAAATCGGGCCCCCCCAAAATCTGAGCGGTAGGCACTGAAACAACAAAAATATTAATAAATAATGTATATCAGAAAAAGGAACTTCATACTGTATTTTTGTAATTCTAAGATTAATTTATGCATAACCTAGAGTGTACAGGAAAAATAACTTTTATTTTATTTATTTATTATTTTCGGGTTTGTATTCCATTATTCTAAAATTCAATAAAATGTTTCATTTAAATTTCATTCGTTTTTCAGGTCATTTTATTCAATATTCTACTTTTTTGATAGAGTCAAAAACTGAACCAAGGTTGCCAGGCCTTCTATATTTTAAGGTCTTCTACCCTCTAGGTTTCTAAAATATAAAAGCAAAATCTTCTATATTTTAGAATACAATTTAGTAGTCAATATTTTGGTGTCCACCTTTTTATTTAGAATTATCTTGATATAGATATTAAATGAAAGGGTTTGCAAGTAGAAAACGATAAGGCGAGTGACGTCACACTAAATCCAATATGGCGTTTGCCCCAAGATAACGGATAACCTATTTCTTCATAACCCCCTTGACATGGGTATCAAATGAAAGGGTTTGTCAAGCAGAATACGTGACGTCATTCTAAATTCAATATGGCGGCAGCCCCAAGATGGCGGATAACCTATTTCTTCACAACCCCCTTCACATGGGTATCAAATGAAAGGGTTTTCAAGCAGATACGTGACGTCATACTAAATCCAATATGGCGGCCGCCACAACACTATTTCTTCACAATATCCTTGACATGGGTATCGAATGAAAGGGTTTTAAGTAAAATAGGTGACGTCATTCTAATTTCAATATCCTGTGTTGTAATGCCAAAGGATTATAATTAAAATGAGAGCAAATCGAATCCCGCTTTAGGCAATATTATATTAGTTGGTTTTATTTAAAAATATTGCAATTAAATATGAATGTAATTAGTGGTGGTCTTAGTGTTAAGCCAATAAATGCTCCAAATTGGTTATGTTTAAATGAATTTAGGCTTACAAACTTAAAACATGTTGGAGTGCAACAAAATTTAAATATGGAATTCTAATAGATATTTAACTTTTAATTTCTCTGGCAAAGTTTATTTAATGAAAGGTTTTAAGGGCAACTTACTCTAATTTTAAGTTAATCAAGAAGGAGCAAATTGGCCTTTAAACGTCTAAGACGAAGGAAAATTATTGAGAAGGAGATATTTATTCTATTTTATTTGAGATAAAGCAACTTTAGAGAAATAAGAAACTTTCTAAGCGGGTAAAACAAATACTGCTTATAATTGACTGGGTTTAATGCAAAGAAATTTTACTAATAATATCCTGCTACTACAGCATTATATTTCGTTTTGTATCTAAAAACTTCAACAAAAGACTTTGGCGATGTTTAAAATAAGCTTATGCGCCAAAATGTTTCTTTCAGCGCAAGACGTTTAACTTCACTAAATATAAATGACAGATAATTAAAAAGCAAAATTCTTTTTCTAGCAAAAAATCTTGCATCCCGGTTTTTAAGGATTGACTGTTATAACGAGGCTAAGTAGACGTTTCTAATTACTCATAATTAAATCCGCTAAAACAGCCATTTATATATTTGACTTCTAGTTGTTTCATACTACACTATAAATAACATTGCCGTGTGTAGATAACACTTAGCTATAATATAATTCTGGGTATGCTTATTTTTATCCCTCGTTGCATATGTCTGCTATTTACTTTCTGTTGTTACATTATTCTTTAAGGTCCCATTAGCACAGTAATTATAATTTATTACTTTTTTTTTTCAAGCGTACAACAATTTTCATATTATGACACAATATTGAAAGACTTCGTATTTGTACGCAGTTTAAAAGTCAAAGTTAAAGCACTACTTAAATAATGGACTATTTTACAGGAACGTCATTCCTTTTTCAATATTTCGCTTTGTTTTGTTTTTGATTTAAAATATTGAATTTCCTCAGAAATACGAACTCCCCCATTATGTTTTATTGCAAAACTTACCTTACTTTATAATTTTGAAAACAATGGCGGAAATTACAATTTGATGAGACATCAGCATCACATTTCCAATATCCCGACAGAAAACAATTGAAATTGCATCCGAAAAATGGCGTGGCAATCATAGTTGTGAAAATTGCCACTTTAACATAAAAAACCAGTGTGATAACTATGAAAATGAACGAAAAGTTTTTATTTAAAAAATGTCTACCTCGGTAAATTTATATTAAAAAATGTTGTGTGGGCTTCGTAGCCAAATTAAACAATGACATGCCCCACTAAAAGCTGCCTAATTGTTTCAGAACGTGTATTTTTCAACACTAATTAATTAACGCAATTAAGAAAACGCTGAATGCAAAATTTGGCCAACGCACTTAGGTGTCTGTTTTCGCCTCTAGGGCTTAAATAACGAATTAGCGCAGCATATTATTTATTGTCTTTGATGAATCCAGAACATAAATTTCAAAGCAAGTTTTTATTTAGACAATCGGCACTGTGCTTTTGTTTCGGATGTGCTTTGCTCCTCATCAGTGCCGGGTATACGGCAACAAAGTTAACGAGAGCTTCGCTTGTTTTTAATTAAATAAGTTGTTTTAAACAAAAATTAAATGTATGTATGAGAATGAGAATTTTTTTGCCGGTCATTATAACCTTTAAAAAAGGGAGACAAAAGTTCAATTATGTTTGGGATAATGAAACACGTACGTATCGATGTTTTTTTTTGCAAAAACGACTTTCGTAATTATAATTGAACAGGCATTTCCAGCCATCAATTGTTTTTCTATATCCATATACATTTACCTCGATGTCTCATCAAAGTCCTATTAGCGTTGGAATTAAAAAACCCTACAAAATTTCCGCCTCTGAATTTATTTTTCGGTTAACACCAGTGTTTGCTGTATTTCTGTGAATTACACTTCGTGACCAACGAAAAATACTATTAAACAGATCAGTGTTAAACGACAATTTGATTAAAAATAGAATAGAATCGATTATTTGGGGAGAGGAGAAGAAAAGTGTAGGTAAGGATACATATTGGATTTGGAGCCGAGACGGATCATGCGATAAAAAATATTTCGAATGAAAAAGCCGTAAATTATAAGTGCTTTTGCCAATTAAAATCCCATGCCCTTTTTTACACTAACCCCTTTCATAAAAACCAACTTTGATTTTGCCGCAGACTTTCTACAATGAAACAAATATGAACGGGGGTTTAATTTATTATGGCCAGTGCACACAATTTCACTATAAAATAAATACTATAGGTTTTGTTCGTCTTTATACTCTATTAAATTGCATTTATGAAAGGCTTATAATTTATTTTCATCAACATAACAAAGTTGTAATTTGAAATTTAATACAAATATTTACAAAAATGCTTGTTGTCTGAATTTACTCTAATTCAGGAAAAACGGCGTTTTATTAACTGTTCACTTTATATGACTCCGTTTAGCAATGAATTGTATTTAAATTAATAATAAGTCTTCGTGCAAATTATCTAAACTTAAATTTAAGAGTCAAGATAAAGCTAAAGCCGGAACAAATTGAAACACTTAATACTTTGTATTTTATCACGTTTATTTGTAACATTATTTTACTCAGCCTTCGTCCTTAGGGTACCATTTTCAAGTGATTTCAAAACAAAAATAACACAAATATATGGGAAATTACGCGTTATAAATGTTGTAAAATAAAATATACAGACATTGGAGGCTGGAGACTATAGAGACTACAACCAGAAAATAATAGCAAATAAGAAATCATCAGTTTGGGATTTGGTCTTCCAAATAAATACCGTTTTATATTTCGAACGCGAAAGTTTACAGAAGCCATTTTATGCCCTGGGCATATTTAACTAGTTGCACAGTAAACCTTTTTATTTCAACGTCACTAAAAGTACAGACAATCTGTATTTAGACATCAAAATGAATGAAAAATGAACACCAAAAACGATAATTTTGTAAAAAAATTATACAGAATGGTCAAAAATATATGTAGTAGGTGCAATAAAATTACAGAATGTTTTTGCAAAATCTTTGCTAGAATTTATACAGAGAAAATCTAAGCTATTTTCATTAGAAAGATATCTGGAAACGCCTATTTATCCTCACATGTGGATGGGAAGAAGAGGTTTCATAGAATGGCCAGCAATATCACCAGATCTAATACCTCTAGACTTTTTCCTTTCATTTTGAATTTTTAATTAATTTTTTTATTCCCACCTTTAAAACGCCCTTTATCGTACATGTTTCCATGACACTAAGTGACCTTTTAAATACACATTGACAAGTTGTGGCTTTATGGCGCTTTAGTCACGGGCTGAAGTTGGTTGACAGTTGTCAAATGTCATACAATCGTTAAAATAAAGTGCCTTTCTTGTAAAATAATACTAAATGTGAAAATTATTTTATTATCTCAATACAAAAATACAAAAGTATTAAATAGTTTCTCAGTGCCAATATTTGAAAAGTTTATATGAGTATTTGTCGTAGACAAAGTATAGTATGCACCTCGTTTATAAACTTTTATACTATACACTCATTAATTTAGGCACTCGCTGGCAAGCTTACTGGTGCCTAAATTAAATTCGTGTATAAAATGGCGTTTATCAAACTTGATATATAATATACTATTAAAATAAAAAGTTTAGTTTTTTAATCTGTCATTACATTCCACCCTATGTTTACTAAATCCTACTTATAGGGTATCGTCGTAAGTAAACCACACTGTACATATATTTACTACGTACCTTTAAGAGTAAAATTTAATCGCGATATTGTTAAATACATTTATTTATTTAAAAGGAAAACTTGCAAAAATGGCGGATGCGCCGGGATACTGACAAGATGCAGCCTTTGATTTGTCCTGAGGTACATATTACATCACAACCACATAAAGGTACCCAATCTTATTTGCATCTTATCAACTTCAATGGGATTTTAACATTTATATGCAGCATAAAAGTATATCTGTTGAATTTTAAATTGAAACGAATAGAAAATGACACATTTTAACTTAAAAAAGGCTGATAAACTATTA